TTAATGGGTAAGGGAGGGTTGTATTCATGTAGAATGTCCAGAAACTCAGTGATGAAAAGCAATCAAAGTAACTATTCGTATTATGGAGTTAAGACGCACGCTCATGATTACACCGGATTTTGTTGCCACTTACTATGAAAAGTATGACGCCGGAGTAACTTCTCAGAAGCGTAAAAACGTTCCGTGGTAATAATGAAATGTGAAATGTAGTAATGATGAAAGTTCCGTGGTAATGATGAAATGTGTTTTTTTTTTTTTTTCGGTATTGAAAGTTTACCAGTGGTTGATCTAAATTTAAGGCATTTTAGCCCCTAGGGAGAGGAAGGAGTGACTTATCACGTAGGAATTTTCTCCAAAGTTTTCTGAGTATTCTGCATCTGCAATGTTTCTGCCTTTTTCTGCTCTATAATTGGTCTTAGACTTTTCACGGCTCAAAGCACTCTGACTGACAGCTCACACTCTCTTTCGCGCTAATACAACAAGATTTCCGTTTAGACATTGCTGATCAATACTGATATATGATACTGTCAATCATAAAGTCACTCCGGTCCTCATTAGGGAGTTTAAGATACGGTCACTACGGACTACGGACTACGGTAATACACGGCGAGGACCTGGTTCGAGATTTACTGCGCATGCTCGATAGCACGTGGGTTTCGCAGTCCGTCGTGTGGTTGCAGGCTACGGGGAGTAGTCGAGGAGATTCGCGTAGTGAGGACTACGTAAGTATTTTTTTGCCGATTTTTGACCAGTTTTGTTTTCTAAACGCTACTTTTATGTTGAACAGTCTTTAGGCAATTAAACTTGAGCGAAAAAGAAGTAAAAATCGCATTTTTTTTCTGTTTCTGGTTCAATAACATCGGAATATCATCCTTGGCCACCCTGAAGTGAGCTTCGCACTCGCAAGAGTCGAACACATCCAAACAGAATGGATCAAAATTCCAGTACGGAAATGAAGGATTAACGGGTTGGTAATAATCGTAAAGAACAATAAACTCTTCATCATCCAGAAAACCATCCGCATAGGCGATTAAAAGGGCGTTTCTAGCATCTTCGAAGGACATTTTTTTTTCCAAGTGCAGCCGTAGTCCGTAGTCGTTGTCACGATCTTAACGTCAAACAACACTCCAATTTTCGCGCCCTTTTAGCGTAGTCGGCCCAGTCCACGCGTGGCTTGGATTCTCACGCCCAGACGTAGTCCGTAGTCCGTAGTGACCGTATCTTAAACTCCCTATTAACCTGATGGCTACAACAAACGTTCAAAACGGAACTTTTAAAATCTTGTTGCCTGCGATCGGCTGTTTGAACACTTAGTGGAAATATTTGACTAGGATATGATTACTGAATTTTAATCTCAATTTTCTGACACCTTTTATTTAAAGATCGAAGAAAAAATAGACCAGAGCTAAGAGTTTCTTTTTGATGTTTGCCGTTGCCATAAATTTCAGGCTGTACTTCATAAGTCTTCTTTGTTCCTTTCAACTTTTGAAGTACACACTTTCCAAATAGAACAGCTGCAAACATATCATTTACAGCGGCAATGTTTGTAATATAATGTTTGGTGTAAATTTGGCGAATTCTAATGGAAGATCTTCGCGCTAAACCATTTCAATCTCTGAATGTTTTGCAGCGAGAAACTTTCGATATTATTATGCGTGAGTCATTTAATGTCTTTTTCAGCCTAAGAAAATCACATAATTTGCCTGTGATGCTGTCATGGCGGAAGCTTGGCGGATAAGAGAGTACATTAGGCCTTTCTTACTTTCCTATTCGCAGCCGAGTAGTAAAACTTTATGGATTGTATCAATACTTCTCTTCTTTTTCATTTGGATGTTCCTTGATGCCTGTAATGTGACGTTTAAATCTCCATAGGAGTCGGTTTGGTGAACACAATATAGCCGGCTGTATGCCGATCTAATAGATAATTAATGAGACAATTTGACGCGTTCTCATGACAGCTAATTTTCTTTTGTCGATTAATAAATTTTTCATTTGTTTCATGAAAAGTGCAGGAGGTAACAAACATTCGCACGCGAGGTTATAATTGATTAAGAAAACCTTTAAAAGGTTTATTATTCTCACTTAGGTCGGCGGAATCCTGAATAGATTCTCAACTTTGAGTAAGGCAACGAGCATTTTTACCGAAAACATTTACCGAGAACATTTTTAAGGAAAAAGATTGGAATTCTTGTGAAATGGGCGAGATTAAGTGTCTTACTAAAGATTTACTGTCTTACTAAAGAAAAGGAGTCGTGAATCGTCAATGCGAAAGTTTCTCAGAATCGAAGAAAAGCCCCGCTTATTTCCTGCGAACCCCGTCTTTAATATCCAAAGAAAAACAAGGCAACGATCACTGTCTGTAAAGACTACAATTCGTACAGTAATCCTTACACCCTAACAGCTTCGTTATACTACAAGTTAACGATGTGTGAATGGCGTACGGCAAAGCTCCTATTCTGGTCGTATGCTTTCAGCAGTTTTTACTCTGAAGTTTAAAATATTTCACTTTAATTCCAAATAATGAAGGGAGTGTTTGTTTTCCTGCATCATCACCGAAATATATAGTGCAAACAACTGCTTAGGGGTCAACTGTGAACAAGATACTTTTTGCCATTTTTTCTGTAGCGTTGAGTTGAGGATTAAACGAAACGTTAGTGAGGTCCGAGTTTAGTGAGGTCCGAGTTTAGTGAGGTCCGAGTTTAGTGAGGTCCGAGTTTATTTTTTTCCGTTATTGTCTTAACCACCTGCTTTGCTTCTTTATGTTCGAAGGCTGTTGCATTTCGAATCTCTAGGTCAAGTAGATCTCGTTAATGAGTCTAGCAAACTCGGATCTTTTCATATAGCTAACACCATAGATAACTCGAGTTTATAGTCAGTATATATTTTATAATTTTGCGGAAATGTTCTTAACCAGCACTCAAAAGCGTGGGTCCAATTTGTTTTTTACTTGTTTTTATCCTTGTCATTTTTTTCAAATTCAAAATCATAATTTTCAAGCACATTCTTTCCCATATTTTATCCTGAAAGATTGAACTTGAAAATACAAGATCACTGATAAATAAAATCTCATTTTACAGTCGCTCCAAAGTTCCTCATTTTCAATCAAACTTCGCAATTAAAATGATTCTCAACATCATTTTTTTTTCCATGAGGAAGGAGACTCAATGGCTGCCGCCTTGGTTGAAAAAAAAAAAAACCAGAGAAAAACATGAAAAAAAAAACCCTCTACTTGTTGTTTAACTTCCTATCTCGCGAACTATCTCAGCTTCTTTATAAACACTCCAACAAGTTTTGCAGGGTAAACAGTGTAAATGTATTGTCGATATTATCGGGGCTAGCTGGAGGTGCAAAGTTAACTGTGAACTATCAAGTTTAGGATAAATGAGCTGGACGAATGTGCAGGCCTTAAATAGTAAGATATTTTGTCGTGCGCTGATATAAACGGCGGCATTAATATTTAGACCAGGTGTAGGGGAAGGAAAGATCTCGGCTTACAATTGATTTTATTGCGCCGATTAGTCTGTGAAATTAAGGAAATTTTATGTATTGAATGATGACTGAATTTTTAGTTGTTTGTCTCGTAAACTTACTCCCACAATCAACTACAGGCTGCGACGTTTGGACTACAATTCGTTCGCTGATGTTAAAGCCAGGCTTTACACTCGCACCAGTTGAAAAAGGTCGAGATGCATGCACAATCGCTTGTTGCAACTCTGCAAAGCGCTGAGTAAAAATTTTGTGGCCTGTAATTTCTACTGATTTGCCGGATTCTCTTTGATGGCCAAAATTTAGTTTCGGATTAAACAACAAAAAATTCCGTAAAATAAAACGCTGCGAAAATTTGCCATTCTCAATCACCTTGTGTTTGTTGTTATTGGACTACCTCGAAAATTAGTTCAGGAATCAAGCAGAGAATAGCTCATCGATGTGTTTAACTTTACAAATGTTGAATTATTTTAAATAATGTTTCCTCTCATTGGTTGTGATCTGTTGTAATAAAGGAAATGGCAAAAGTAGTTTGCAGACGAACTCGTTTTCGCAAAAACAACTATCCAATCCGTGAGGTATATCTCTCGCAAAATTTTCACACTACACTGCACATCGTGAAACAGACAATTATTTATTTTTTCTCTCGTTGTTTCTATGCTCTGGGTCTTTACGTTAAAAAAACGGGGAAGAATTGTCACAAAAGCAATCAAAAGCATCAAAGGTTTCGAAAATAGAACCACGACTCTTTCGCTAATTAGCCATTTTTATTGAAGTATTGTGCATAAACATAACGCAACATCTGTAAGCTTTGTTCTTTACAATTCATTTCAAAATTTTCTATTCCGGACCCAAATTAATAAAAGAAGAAACGAAATGTAGCGATGCTTGTCATAGCTTCAGTTTAGACTGTTTGAATCGGGTTTCTCCGCGAATTCTTTCTTTTGAAAAAAGCCTGCCGGTAGTGTTTTCTACTTCTGTACTTCCTTTTTCATAAACAATGTGTGGGCAGAAACTATTTGAAAATTCATATCGGTAGTCTGATCAAAATGAACAATTAAAGGGATAGTTGATTCCTTTGCCAGATAAAAACATTAAATGATAGACTTCTCCGTGGCCAGTGATCTGTACATGAGACTCGATAAGTTTCTTCATGCGGACTGCATTTTGCGCAGATACATTTTAATTCTAGAGTACAGAGTTATGATTAAAACGGTTAATAAGTCTTATTTTAAATAGCCATAAATCAATAAAGTTTTTATGACGCGGGCTAGCATTTATTAAACACGCCAAAGGGGCTCTAGTAAATACGGCGCGGCTTAAGTTCAACTATTGACGGCTGGTGAGTTTCATATTAACCAACATGGCATATCGTGTCGCCGGACTGGATAGCATCGATAAATGAAAAAGCCCGAAATTATTCCTGGAGTGGGCGGTGATCTTATCATGGAAAGCACCTATAATTGTCCACCTGCTCGGAAAGAACAGATGTAACGCCATTGAACGATTATAAAGGAACTGTCTCGGTGGGTACTATTGATGTCACAATTTCCCGCTTTTATCGACCGAGAATGTCTAAAGTAGCCTTACTTCTTTTGTTGGCCTTCATCGCCTTGGACGTGAAATGCGCTCCCAACTTCAGGCGCAAATGTATGTTGTACAATTTTCCTAAGCGGATTATTTCGAAGTTACTAATTTGTACTACTCTCCTTTCTTGACACTTATTTCTAAAGTAATATTGAGCGTTTTTGTTATTTAGTTTGGTCACAATATTTTTCCAAGTCTTGGCAGAAGTGCAACAATTATCATCCTCCTCTTGAAAGAACTAAAATGTCGTTAGTGGTTACTAAAATGATCTATATTAGTTCGGAAAAGGAATTTTTTCATCTTGCTAAATAAGTTTAACTTTTCGGCTGTATACATCTTTTCATGCATGTTATTTTCAAATTCACATTTGAATTGCTTGAATTACTTTAAAAAACCCATTCGAGTCTTTGAAACAGTTTATTGACATCGAAGTTCTGAATGATAAACTGAAATTTTTTGCTAGGCTAAGCACTTTGAGTTCCCCAAGCTCAATAATTTATCGCTTCAAAATAGCTGTCTTTTCACTTATAAATTGTCCATCATTTTTGCCTTTTATTAGCTGCGGATAAAGTTTCACAAAACTTCAGCCCTAAACATATCACAGATTATCGTTAAACGCGCTCCAAACATCACAGCAATAATGTTGATGATTGTCATAAATCATTACTTATCGATGGAAATTATCGCAAATTTTTCACTTTCATAAGGCGCAAATTTGTATTAATCTTGAAAACAAAAGCTGTTCATTATAACATATACCACTGTAGACTCCCAACTTGTCAAGCCAAGAGAGAACAAAGCACTTGTTACAATTGGAATTTTAGCCCAAATGATTGGCTGAGGGTTCCATAGAGGTTTATAACATAAGTTTCTTTACCATTCTTATGTAGTTTTGAGTTACTTGTTGTATATATATATGCCAATAAGCTATGGTGCAATTAAAGACACATTTTACCAAATTCAAATTTAAATGATTGACTTCAATATTCTAGATTATTCGAAAACATTATCTAATGAAAAATTAAATAATTAGTCGAATTTCCTGAAGCGTTGTTTTCGACCTTCACCAAGTTAAAATACTTCATCATTTCAGCGCGATTTAAGTCATGTCGAGAAAACTGATAGATTTTGTTTTTCTCTCTCGTCAGTCGAATCAGACCCTGATGCTGTGCCTAGGAGTTCAGACTGTTATGATTTTAAGCCCATAGAGTGCCAGTTGTACAAAACCTGTGCATCTCTTACCGCCAGAGAGAACTGTCCAAGAACCTGCCGAATGTGCGAAGACTTCGCATAGAGACGCACTGAAGTTTTACAATCTGAACGAGATTTTCACATTAACAGATGAAAATTGTTGATTGTTGTCCTAATAAGAATAAAAAAAAAAGAAAGAAATTTACAGTCCAAAGATTTTTGTAAAACAAACAAGAAAACATCGCGAAATAAGTACCTAGAATATCTGGCTCTGTGGCTAGCGATACGATGGCAAAATACAAACCACCTTCTTCTAATTTTCAACTCAGTCAATGTGGGCTCAGAGGGCAGAGGATGACTCAACTCCCCCCCCCCCTTTTATGGGCATGTCCCGATTGTACTCGTAAAATGCTGGAAGGTTGCCAACTGGAATGCCAAAAGTTGCTGAAAATTGTCGCAAATCCGAAAAGTTGCTGCCAAAATTTCAAAAGTTGTCACCAATATTTCGCGAAAGTTATTAAAAGCTAAAATTTTTGTTCTTCGCAGTAGTTGCCAACATCGGTCAAAATAATATAGCTTGACATTCAGCCTTAGAGAGTTTCTCGCAGATATAGGCGGCTTCTCGACAGCCATTTCCATTCGTGGAAAGTAAATTAACTTAGACGACCACTTTTGAGCTTCATTTAAACCGATGATCTGTTCTGATATTGAATAAAACGCTTGTGAAACGTTGTCAATTTACAGGTTGCGTGTTCGAAAGGTTGATAAACACTCAAGAAATTCACATATATTGAAGTTTTCTCTGAAATCGTTGAACTCCATCGTGTTTGTGTTCTAAACCTAAATGTTGCTAAAAGAAACTTGCATCCCTCTTGTAATTTTTAGGCCATTTTCTCCATTGTACGGCGCGCGTTCCGCCAATATTTAGAGTCCTAAAAAGTCCCGGATATGTCGCAGCATTCTGCCCTCCGTAAGATTTAGATCACTGTCATATCACTGTCTGGGATTTGATAAATAACAACTGAACATCACTGCAATTCCCACCGTCCATCATCCACCATTAATCGATAAGGGCGCTCAGCTGACTTCTTATTTCTCCCTTCAGTATCACCCCTGAATCACATGTTAAGGTCATGAGAATAAAAGAATGACCCCAAGAGTGACTAGTATCAAATTTCTCCCTACAGTACCACCCCTGAATCACATGTTAAGGTTATGAGAATAAAAGAGTGACCCCAAGAGTGACTAGTATCACATTTCTCCCTACAGTACCACCCCTAAATCATATGTTAAGGTTATGAGAATAAAAGAATGACCCCAAGAGTGACTAGTATCAAATTTCTCCCTACAATATCACCCCTGAATCATATGTTAAGGTTATGAGAATAAAAGAGTGACCCCAAGAGTGACTAGTATCAAATTTCTCCCTACAGTACCACCCCTGAATCACATGTTAAGGTTATGAGAATAAAAGAGTGACCCCAAGAGTGACTAGTATCACATTTCTCCCTACAGTACCACCCCTAAATCATATGTTAAGGTTATGAGAATAAAAGAATGACCCCAAGAGTGACTAGTATCAAATTTCTCCCTACAGTATCAACCCTAAATCACATGTTAAGGTCATGAGAATAAAAGAGTGACCCCAAGAATAACTAGTATCAAATTTCTCCCTACAGTATCACCCCTAAATCACATGTTAAGGCTATGAGAATGAAGGGAATGATCACCAAGAAAAGAACCTTTATATCGGCAAACAAATTCTCCTTGTCAGCACCTTGGGAAATGTATAAAGAACAGTGTGGAGAATATCCATTCTGATTTTAAGTTTTAAAGGGTAAAAAAGGAATAGAGCATGGTTTTCTTTTGCTATTCCGTCTCAAATTTCATGGTCTCACGGCTTAACGCTTAAAAGTGCACATTCAAACGCTAACTACACGAGCTATCAATCAGTTATGAAGCAGGGCATGATGCATTACGAATTTTTAGCGGTGCGCTGAAATAACTATCCGTTTGTTGTTTCTGGCAAGTGTGAAACACTACTTCTGTAGGTATCCGGTTAGATCGCTCTATGGTTAGATCGCTCCAAGTCAGATCGCTCCATACCGAAGTCAGATCGCTCCACTCGAAAGTTAGTTCGCTCCATCAAATAAGTTACTTCGCTCCATACATAAGTTACTTCGCTCCATGTAGAAACCTAATACACTAACTTACTTCTGATCTTTATAGTTTATAGTTGATGATGTGTATTGCGTCTTGCGATCGAGTTGCTGATCGACGTATTCGCTAACTTGAGGCCACCAAAGCGAATTACCGATGTTGCTGACTTCGGTATGGAGCGATCTGACTTGGAGCGATCTAACCATGGAGCGATCTAACCGTAATTCCTTCTGTACTTAAGCTTGCTGTAATTTGCAGCTGTCGGTCAAGCCTTTATTTAAGTGTTCGACTGAAAGTAAGATAAACTAAGTGCACTTTCGTTTGGTTCTCTGAGTTTCTAGTAATTTGATACAGTCTTGAGGAAGTTAGTCCCCATTGCCACAGAATTTCAATCGATTGATTCGATTATTATTGATTTTCTTTATCACGTACTTACATTCACAGATATCGTTTTTTGATTTCGAAAATAAGCCGCCGAATTACATTGTTGTTATAGAAATTTAAGTAAGAGCAGTCTCTCCTTTATGGCGAGTTCCGTCGCGTGAGTAAAAAAAAAAAGTGAAAAAAAAAATTGTCAGCGCCGCGGAGCGCCAGACTCCAAAGGCTCCCCGCGGACTTTATTTCATTGTTGACATTTTTATTTTTGTTAATATAGCGCAACAATGCACACTACCTTTACGAATTCTAGTTCTAATTATATCGGATGAACCCTCCCTTTTTAATCTACAACGTAACAAGAGTACCGCAACAAAATTAAACAATAATAACCAGATTTTAGATATTATGTATAGGTGAATAACAACAACTGAGCCGCTCAATAATAAAAACCAGGCGTGATATACTACTTCCGCTTTCATTAATTTTGGTTTTTCAGTGTGGCTGAATAACTTCTTCGTGGAGTCAATACGACGGTTGTGCAACCAGTTAAATTATATTAGTCATAAATCTTGTCATCACACACTCACATTTTTGGAAAAGAATCACAGGAACGTTTATCGACACACAGTCCAGCTTAAAATGATTCACAATTGCAATCAATCAGTTTGCGTTTGTCTCCAAACTATTCTTTAACTGTTTACGAATTCTGGCATAAGTTCCCAGATAAGCCATAAAAGTTCAAAATTTGAAGAGAAGGAAATATTGAATGAATGACAGCCATAAAAAATGCTTTGTTCCAACGATAGTGTCATTTGAAGGTACATCACTAAAGACGACTGTTAATGTTAAAAGGCGCTATATTAAGTGAATAACAATATAAGTGAACCCCGAGCCTGGGGAGCAAAAGTCATTATTTTATTAATTGTTTTTAGGCAATAGGCTGAATTAATCATAATTCTCGGCAACTCGAAAATTTACGGCTTATGTTATGGGTTTAATAAAGTGCCGAAGGTTACTGCCTGAAAGCTGTTACTTGTGTGACTGTATAACAAATTTAAATAATGTCATGTTCATTTAAATATCTGAATGCAATGGTTATTAAAGTCAGGCACTACTATTCGACCAAATGAAACAGTGATTTCTTATTTCCGCTGTTACTTGGTCACGCTTTTTGTAGCATTGTTGTCCTTCAGCATTTCTCGTTGTTAAAACAAAGTTCGCTTGAATTCCAACAATAGCTTCAGTGAGTCCTTTTCCGTCAGCAATCGATTGAGCCACTTTGGTCTTGCTGGGAAACGTATGAATACAGCCGATTCCTTCATCGTTTATTTTTGTCTTTAAGAATTCATTTTCCTCGAAAAGATTGACGTACTCAGTCCGCTTCTTCTCGTTCATCATCGACTTCTTTCGGGATGATTATGCTCGGAGTTTTATCTATTTGTGCAAGCTCTGTGTTTGTGCTTCGTTTTAATAGTGTTTCAGATTTTCCTACTGCTGTTTCGATGTTTTTCACTTTGTTTCCAATCTCGATCCTTTTTACTCGCAATCATTTCAGAGATTGTTGCGCCTCATAATCCGCTTCAGTAAAGATTTCCCGTTTCTTGGCTTCGATGACAGTAATCACGCTTTTAGCAAACTGTTGCGTGCTCCTTTTACTTTTGCGACGTTTGCTTCGATGTTATCACAGTGTTCGTCAATTTTAGATATTTCGTTTCTCATCTTTTGCACTTTTGCCTTCCTGGACTCAATCGCGAACATGACTTGCAATTTCTCTTCATTTGCCGCTTGCTCTAAGAGTACCTTGACATGTCCATCGTGAGCGGTCACAACGTAGAACTGCGAACGGTTTCTTCACATTTCCCACAAAAGAATTCTAATTCTTTCTTTTCATGGCCTTGTCGGGAATAAAACACTGATCGTTTTAAGACATCCTCGATGTCTTGATCTTCAAAATCTTTAAGTGCAAGAACTCGGTGGTCTATCTTTATTTGCTCGGAGTAAGTTATGCACAGCGATACACTCGTCACACCACAATGAACAGCACTGAAAACAGTAGAAACTTTCGTTTGTCGCAGCTTTCGCATTTACTCCAGTAAAACGGTACTCCCTTATGGCCAACACAACTAGTAAGCTGTAGATGCGAAAGTTGGTGGGCAGATCTTTAAGGTTTCCTCCAGGGACCTGACTCTCCCTTCGACACTCAGGACATGTTATGACATCATGCTGCTAATTCCTGCTAAACAGTGGAGGCAAAAGCTTCATGAAGACTAGCGAGCAATGTTTTGATATCCATGATTAAAGGTTCGATAAGGTTTTCGCTTCACGTACCAAACACGCGGAAACAAATTGCAAAGTAGTCATGCGATTGAAATGCTACTAATATTGACCAATTACATGAGAGTTGTCTTTAGCATATTCAATGTGAAAGATTTTTGATAATCGTGTTAGTTTACCTTGACCTCACACATTGAAAGGAATTCTAGTAGTTGTAGACAGACTAAAATCTCGCCTATTAAAAATGAGTCCATTTAAATTCAGGATTTTCCTTATTTCTGTTCGCCTGATACTTCAGTTTGTTTGTTACTTTAGTATCTCACGCACTGTTTTCTTTCTTTTCTGTTGGTTTGCTAAGTTGGTACCTCGCGCGCTGTTTCTTTTCTTTTCTGTTTGTTTGTTACGTAAGTATCTTGCGCACTGTTTTCTTTCTTTTCTATTTGTTTGTTACGTTCGTATCTCGCGCTCTGTTTTCTTTCTTTTCTGTTTGTTTGTTACGTTAGTATCTCGCGCATTGTTTTCTTTCTTTTCTGTTTGTTTGTTACGTAAGTATCTTGCGCACTGTTTTCTTTCTTTTCTATTTGTTTGTTACGTTCGTATCTTGCGCACTGTTTTCTTTCTTTTCTATTTGTTTGTTACGTAAGTATCTCGCGCACTGTTTTCTTTCTTTTCTGTTTGTTTGTTACGTTAGTATCTTGCGCACTGTTTTCTTTCTTTTCTGTTTGTTTGTTACGTTAGTATCTCACGCACTGTTTTCTTTCTTTTCTGTTTGTTTGTTACGTTGGTATCTCACGCACTGTTTTCTTTCTTTTCTGTTTGTTTATTACGTTGGTATCTCACGCACTGTTTTCTTTCTTTTCTGTTTGTTTGTTACGTTAGTATCTCGCGCACTTTTTTTTCTTTTTCTTTTTTTTGTTTGTTTTATTCGTTGTATCTCGCACTGTTTTCTTTCTTTTCTGTTTGTTTTCTTTTCTGCACTGTTTTCTTTTTCTTTTGTTTTGTTTGTTACGTAAGTATCTTTTTTTTTCTTTTCTATTTGTTTGTTACGTTCGTATCTGTTTTTTTTTTTTTCTGTTTGTATTTTGTTTTCTTTCTTTTCTATTTGTTTTACGTTCGTATCTCGCACTGTTTTCTTTCTTTTCTATTTGTTTTGTTTCGTATCTTGCGCACTGTTTTTTTCTTTTCTGTTTGTTTGTTACGTTCGTATCTTGCGCACTGTTTTTCTTTCTTTTCTATTTGTTTTTGTTATCTTAGTCTCGTGCACTGTTTTCTTTCTCGCACTGTTTTTCTTTCTTTTCTATTTCTTTTTTGTTACGTAAGTATCTCGCGCACTGTTTTCTTTCTTTTCTGTTTGTTTTTTTTTTTTGTTTTCTTTCTTTTCTGTTTGTTTTTTTTTTTGTTTTCTTTCTTTTTGTTTGTTACGTTCGTATCTTGCATCTCGCACTGTTTTCTTTCTTTTCTATTTGTTTTTCTTTTCTATTTGTTTGTTACGTTCGTATCTACTTTTTTTTCTGTTTGTTTGTTACGTTTTCTGTTTTCTGTTTTCTTTTTTCTATTTTTTTTACGTTAAGTATGTTTTCTTTCTTTTCTGTTTGTTTGTTACGTAAGTATCTTTTTCTTTCTTTTCTTGTTTGTTTTTGTTTTTTCTTTTCTTTTCTGTTTGTTTTTGTTACGTTAGTATCTCACTGTTTTCTTTCTTTTCGCATTGTTTTCTTTCTTTTCTATTTGTTTGTTACGTAAGTATCTTGCGCACTGTTTTCTTTCTTTTCTATTTGTTTGTTACGTTAGTATCTCGCGCATTGTTTTCTTTCTTTTCTATTTGTTTGTTACGTAAAGTATGTTTGTATCTTTGTTTTCTTTCTTTTCTGTTTTGTTTGTTACGTTCGTATCTTTCTTGTTTTCTTTCTTTTCACGTAGTATCTGCACATTGTTTTCTTTCTTTTCTTTTCTTTTTGTTTGTTTGTTACGTTCGTATCTCGCGCATTGTTTTCTTTCTTTTCTGTTTGTTTTTGTTTACGTTGTTTGTATCTTGTATCTCGCGCACTGTTTTCTTTCTTTTCTGTTTGTTTTGTTACGTTAGTATCTTGCGCATTGTTTTCTTTTTTCTGTTTGTTTGTTTTTTTTTCTGTTTGTTTGTTACGTTAGTATCTCGCGCACTTTTTTCTTTCTTTTCTGTTTGTTTATGTTAGTATCTCGCGCACTGTTTTCTTTCCTTTCTGCTTGTTTTTTTGTTTGTTACGTTAGTATCTCGCGTAGTCTCCTTCCTTTTCTGTTTGTTGCGTTAGTATCTCCCGCAGTTTTTTCTTTCTTTTTATTGTTTTTTACGTTAGTATCTCACGCAGTTTCTTTTCTTTTCTTTTCTGATTGTTTGTTACGTTAGTATCTTGTGCACCGTTTTCTTTCTTTTCTGTTTGTTACGTTAGTATCTCACCCACCGTTTTCTTTCTTTTCTGTTTGTTTTGTTACGTAATATCTCGCCCACTGTTTCTGTTTTTTTGTTTCTTTTTCTTGTATGGGTAACAACTTGGTTTGGTGCAATTTGGTGTAATTAAGCACGAGTAAATTTTTAAGTGTTTATTAATACCAAATTGCACTCGAAATCATGTTGTTACTTGTTCATAATTTACATGAAAAACGCATCACAGTAGGTCAAGACGGACGAATTTTTGGCAAGGCGCGCGCGCTCTGTCATTGTGTGACAATCACACTCGTGTTACATAAAAAATGTACTCGTTCTCAGCCAATCAGACGCGCGTAATTTTTTCATCGTGCACAACTCCTTTCCTTTCATGTTGCTGGTTTTTTTTTTTACGCTATCTTGCTCACTGTTTCCTGTCTTTTTCTGTTTGTTTGTTAAGATAGTATCTCGCGCAATCCTTAACCCTTCTGTTCGTTTGTTACGTTAGTATCTCGCACAATTTCTTTCCTTTTCTATCCGTTTGTTACGTAAGCATCTCGTGCACTGTCTTTTTCCTCAGCTGTATGTTTGTTACGTTAGTATCTCGCGCGGTTTCGTTCCTCGTCTGCTTGTATGTTACGCTAGTGTCTCGCGCACTGTTTCTTTCCTTTCCTGTTTGTTTGTTTGTTTTTGGCGCTAGTACCTTGTGAACTGTTTCTTCTCTTTTATTGTGGACTGTTTCGTTCCGGTACGTAACGGAAAAAGAAGAACCAGTTACAAGCGCGATCGCCCAAAGAAATTTGGGGATATAGGATTCCGGCCTCCTTACAAAAGAAATTATTCTATTATTGTTTCCCTCAACTAATAATATCCATAATGATACAACTTATTCCACCGTACCAGAAGTAGATTGGCAGCCAATGTCTGTTCATGGTTTTGATTCATTAACTCAGAAATATTTCAAGTTTGAAAAATCGAACAATTCTCATTACTCAAAGGGTTTACGCAGAAAGCCTTCATTTTATCTTCTCCAAACGTCCCGTCGCAAGAGCAAAAAAATGAAAATGTTTCCATATTACGTCCGTCACGATCCAGCGAAAGCTCGACCCAAGACCCAAGCCTTTAGGGTTCGTAGTCCTGCGTGTCTCATATACCAGCGCAGTGTAATAAATTTAACAAACCACGTGAAATTATAAAAATCCACCGTTTATTCTTATCCTACCTACATTTGTAAATACACTTCGATGCAATCTGTTTAAAGCATGGAATATAAAGCTAAATTGGCCTTATTTCTATCTATTATTATACGTCCCTCCGCGATTTTGCAGAAAACTCTTTCAGGTCGTTAAAAGCCTTGTCACGCAGTGGTCACTGAAAAAGTTGCGTGACCAGATGCCGGTGGTGTGATTTTCTGTTCATGGTTGTTGAATTATTTTTATCTGAGCAAGAATTTTTCAGCCGTCTTGTGAAAATTGACATAAGTCAAATTAAATACAAAAGGTAGAAAAAATATAAAATACAGACTGGCGGGATAATCATGTTAAAAAACCAAAATGGCAATTCATGTTAATCGCGCCTTAAATCAGCGAGGGTTGTCTACTTAACTGATGAATTTAGGCTGAACTAATATTGACCTCTTAATAAAGGTTCTCAACTTTTTCAAGCATAGTCACGATTACCCAGGGGAGAAAAATTAAATGTAATTCAAACGAAGCAACGTATACGGTGGTTTGCTAAAGAATAATACTTAACTCTATCCCAACATCCAATTTGCATTCATGTTTATCCAGGTTCTATTCTTGTTTAATGGCGCCGCAATGGAATTTTTCTTCATCCACACATAATCAATTAAAGCTTGGTTTTTAAGAGAATTTACATCGTAGCCAAACGACCCAAAATGACATGACGCACTCTTTTTCGTTACAGTTTGGCCCGTGCTAAGATAAACAATGAGTAATGAACATGCAACAAGTAAACTAAACAACTGAAGTTTGAAGTAAATATCGTAAACTGCAAGACTCTTTTAATCTTTTTTTCATACGCTTTTTCCAGAAAGCCGATACCTGCATTTGATTCGATTTAAATTACAGTTTTCTGTTTAAAATCCAAACAATTCAAAAGCTCTTCCGTCGATCGTTTCACTTCTGTGCCATTGTACAACACACAGAAACTAACCTTTCACAGAGAAACTGTAGAAATAACTGCTTATAGCGAACGATGTAAGGAGTCTAATGGTAGTCGTATTCGGCATCAAGACAATCTTTTTTTAATCGAAAAATATTAGAATTAAATTAATCTAAATAAAAATATAACAACATGTACACCTGTTGATTTTTGTCTGGGGAACGGCCATTGAAGTGGGAATGAAAAATGTCGAAAACAACTTACTTTATGACGAAAAAAAAGAAACTGTTCGTGGACGAAAATATGATCAGACGAAAGAAGCAACCGGAAAATACTCCTTTGCCTCGAAAAGACGGAAATTTTTTTCCCCTCAAAATATCTTCAATCGCCATCCCCCACTCCAAAAATATCACGGACAGTCCCTTACTACCAATCTAGCAGCATTCACTCGCATCGATATTCACAAAAGCCTCACAAAACCTTTCAAAGCACTGTGTCGCCATCTGAGTTTAATAACTCCTCCAATTTAGCCGCATCAGGACTTTTAGGAATCGAGCCGTTCGTTGTCGTGGTCTTATCTGCGAGTTTGCTGTCTTTTTGCTCTTCGGCTTCTCCGGGGTCAGCGGAGGACCTAAAGAGGAACAAAACTGCAGTGTGAGATCAGATACTTCCACCCATGGTCACTCAATCCCAGTCCTAACTCTTTCAAAAGGGACTCCTCTGAATACCTCTTGAATTTCTCTACCATTTTATTTCATGAATTCTCAAACGGCTCTTTTTTGTCCAACTTACGATTTTGAAATTTGATCCTCGGAGACTTCTGGGATGCCTTCATCGCTGCTACTCGCACTTCTTTTTGTCCGTCTGCCGTCTTCTTCCCCAGCATTTGCCCTGTCCCAGCTTAACTTCCTAGACAGCATATTGGAAGGAGCTTGACCAGGCGACCAGGGTTTAGGTAGAGTCGCGGACCGCATAGCTGTCTTCTCTGTTCCAGATGTGGTCCGTTGCACCTTCAGTGACATGGACCGCCCCCCTGGTCTTAAAGCTTCTTTGCCACTCTCACGAGCAACCCACAAATCGTCTTTTACCACGGCCGACCCGCTGTTATCTTTCTCTTTAACCTCTTCTTCCATCTTCGCACTGTCTACCTTCTCTAGCTCGCTGTTAACATCTTGTACCTTCTGGTCAACTTTCTCCGTCTGTTCCTGTGCTCTTTCACTTGGCGTCTCTTCATTTCCCTCTGTATTAACCTCCTTCTTATCTTCCTTATCCGTCTCCTTCCGGTCGTCCACCACACCTTTCTCTGTAACTTCTTCAGGTTTCTCCTTTTCCTCCACCTTTTCCACTTTTTCTACTTTCCCATCTAGTTCTTCCCTTTTTTCCGATTGTTTTGTTTCCGATGGAATCTCTTTCGTTTCTTTGGGTTTTCCGTTCTTCAGTACTTCCTGTTTAACGTCTTCTTTAGCTTCCGGTTGAACTTCTTTTTTCACTTCCGGTTCCTTCTCTTTATTTTCGTCTTTCGGTTCTTCCCTTGATTCTTTCCTGGAGTCCTTCTTACCAGGCCGAGGAGCGGGTTTTGGCGGAGTACCAGACGGCAACCTGGGTCTCGAGCTCTTGAAGGATGACGGTTTGACAAGTCCTTCTTTAGCAATTTGCGGGGCTACCTCTTTACTCCCGATTGCAGGAGCAGGCTTCGAACCCTTGTCTGGTTCAGAGGATTTACTTTCGGCTGGTTTATCTGTTACTTTCTGTAAAAAAAGCGAACAATGTAAGCTGTTATGTTACAAACAATAACTACGATGATAGAGCAAACGGAGGGTTCAACATGGTTTAAAAACAGCTGGGGGGTTCGAAGTTCGAATCCTTAAAGGATGTTATGGGGAACTGTGATATTTTCTTCGTTCCTAACTCGTAGAAGAAGTATAAAATATCGACAGTGATCATCAGAGGAATATTTTTTGTCATCATCACAACATTGTTGTATAAATCAATAAAATAACCTCAGTTGTTCTTACCCTTCCTAAGCTGGCCGCCCTCTCTTGCCTCTGTTTCATTTCAGCCAACAGTCCTCCACCGGCAGCTCCACCTATTCCTATTCCAAATTTGGGAGGCCCACGCAGCTTAGCAGCAGGCTCCTCTGAGGCAGGCTTTGATGCATCCTTCTCAGGTGTGGATCCCCCAACACGAGACTGCGCGGATGGCCCCGTCCCGGTCCTATCACGAGGAAAAGCAAATGGTTTGACGCCCATGATGGGTGGTTTAGTGCCTACAATTTTCTCTGCTGTCGGAGTTCTTTCTCGTTTAGTCAGTGAAGGAGCTCTTTCTTTTGACACCGCGTCATTTTCTTCAACACTTCTCTTTTCTATGGTTACCTCGGGTTTGTCTTCAATGGGTGTCTTTGCCTTAGTGACTTCAGGCTCCTTGTCCAAGGGAACCTTTTCTGTAGGGGCTGCTGGTTCTGGAGTCGCCTTCTCTGCTGGCTGTTCAGCTTTCTTGTCAGAAGGCACTCTTTCTTTAGACACGTCTGGCTTCTTTCCAGAGGGTATCTTCTCTTTCGAGGCTTTGTGCTCTTCCTTTGGAGAGGCCTGATTTTTCTTTTTTTCAGTATCTGAGAAAAATAAAATAAATATTTCCCGAAGCTGTACAAATAAACAGAGGTTAGAAAAGAGTCAAATAAATCAGTCGTTGGGAGTTACAGCGTGGACATGATTTGAATTTGTGATCGTCGCAAGAGCTTCAAAATGCGTCACCGAAAAGAACCCTATCTTCTCTCAGTATTCAATATTCGAAGTTGTGCTTTAAAAGAAACTACAGGAATTATGTGGGCAGTGAAGGAGTAAGATTGAGGAATATGGCTGGGAAAGTCGCCTGAACAGCTACAACAAAGAGTAACGACCGACCATGCTCCAAAAAGAATCAAGCAATAATGATTCTGGTTTATGGATAAATTTGCATCATAAGTGGGAGCCTAACTTATGATTTAGCTTACCGCTAAGTTTTCGATGGCTTAATTATTTAACAGTAACAAGCCTGTTTCGAGATCTTTCCAAAGCTTTTACACAAGCGACTTAACGCGTCTTTGCAATGAACCTACTTGAAAAGATAAGTTTGTGTAAATATATCTCACAATCACTGTTGTGTTTACCAGTCTGTTTGCTGTTGTCTGTGTACCAGGCCGTGGATTTTCCTTCGCCCGTGCTCGGCGCAGTTAGTGCGCGATCTCTGCTTTGTTTCTTCTTAAGAAACCCTGGAAGACTTATACCACTGTTCAAAAGAACAAATGACAAACATTGAAAACGCTGAATTGGCTTCTATAACAAATAAACAGTCAGAAAAAGGAAATAGGGGAGCGATGACTGACACAGAGCAGGCGAAAGCGCATCAGGAAAACTATTAATTTGACATGAAGAGTGAAATTACGACCAAAAGAACTAGACATGTTTGCTTTTTTTTTTTTCGTGTTCAATTTCAGATAAAAGCCAGGTTCCATTCTACAACTATGCTGGTGGACATTGCGCACGTTCCTTTCTCACGAGCTACGACAGAACTGCCTTTGTTCACGGCCTACAATCTCTTCCAACGCAATACTATATGAAAAACAAGTGAATCTTCACTGACCCTTTCGGCATCCAACTCGACTTTTTATGTTCCTGTAGAAGACAAAGACCAAACCAAGATGAACAAAATCAACGAAAAATTAAAATCCCATAATAACACATCAAAATTTGACAGGGATTGGCCAACATAGGTTCTTTAATCCTTTAACTCCCAAGGATCTGATCGTTAATTCTCCCCTCTAGCTGCTACACATTTCCTAGTGAAATAGCTGCTCGAATTTGGTGTTAGTTCAAGATAGCAACTTTAACCTGACAAGTTTGGGTATTCTTATTACCTGCTTGCTGGTTAATGTATGGATATCATGGGGAGAAATCACATGTTAATCACTTCTGGGAGTTAAAGGGTTAAGACGTCGTAACTGGTTGAAACAATAAGCCGTTAAAGCAAGCATCGTTGCCGTTAATTTTAATAATGATTGCTGAGCTGAAAAACGTCGTTAGTTTTATCGATATCTGTGTATAAAGGATTCCTCATTAGGGACTCAAAATTTTTTCTTTGTGACTAGACGAAAAACATCTTTCTCTCTTTCTTCACCGAGCTCAAAACTTACCATCTCTTTTGTTCTATTTACAAGGTTTTTGTTTTCGGATAATAACAGTTCTGAGTCGAAGAATGACTTTTGTTACTAGCCGCTCTTTCAATTCAGCGCGATCTCTATAGATCATATTCGGTGGACGTACACAGAACGATATATCCCATAGAACTTATTACCTGCCCGGATGGAGTTACGCGCTGGTAGAAAATGAGACGGTCTTCCTTAAATTCGTTTAAACAATTGTAATTGTGAGAAACTCATCGGAGTTCACCTCGATTCACAGCCGACCCCGTCGCCTCAACTCTCCAAAAAAGGTTCGAAGGGTTAATGAAAGGAAGTTATTTAAGAGAATATCTAAATAAGGTTTTATGACTCTCGCACTTCTCGTATTTAATGGCGAATCCGTAACTTTTTACCTCGTTATCTTTGGCCTTGGGTGAAGGTTTCGGTTTTGGTGCTGGTTTAGGAGGTGGTGTTTTGCTTGGGGTTGCTGCCGGTGACGGTTTAGTTGTTGATGTCTTCCGTGGGGTTTTCTCAGGAGTAACTTCAACTTTCGGCGGCCTGAAAAAGAACTTGAAGTTAACTTCGAAATAAGGTTTCTTTTTACAAGAACAGATAAATTGAAATAGGCAGGTACAAAGTGATCTGCCGCACACAACAGTACGCTACCTTTTCCAAATTTGAAGCAGTGCTTAAAACACATGAATTACATGAAGCCTCTTAAAATGCTTTTGGTCAACTGATCTCTTTTTCCGACAGGAAAATATAACGTATTTCTTTGTTTGATGACTTAGATCAAACTTTGATCACGGAAACCTAAACAAATTAAGTGGGCCCTTACTTTCGGAGCTTACACTTGTCTCCAGAGCATGAAGTGACTGGGAGTACTGTTACTGCCCCTGGGTAATATGCTAGTTTATCACAGGGTAAACAAACGACCCCTCTACCCCCTTCCCCCTCAACAGAGGCACTGTAACAGCGATATGCTTTCACGGACAACGCGAAGTCATGGATCGGCCAGGACTCAGACTTAGACCTCTCAGTCAGGAGTCTAGCGTGCTAACCAAAAGGAAACTGGGACACTCTGCATGGCGGAGCTTCATCTCAAAACTCTTAAAGACAAGAAAATTAACAGCCTGACCGGAACATTAAGTTCTTGAAAATGTTAGTGAAAATAACAGTTATGTGTTCAATGGTTGTTTCTCACAAACGAAAGACCGAGATCTCAGGCTACAGTGTCAAACGAAGGCAAAAAGAAGACACACAAAGACACTTACTCTTGCTCTGTCTTGCTCCAAAATGCCTCGATACTTTCATCGTCTTTACTCTCGTCCTGAGCGACAGCTGGTCTGTTGGAGGGTCGGGTGGGGAGGCGCCTTTTCTGTGGGGGCCGAGCGCGATCCTTGCCTAGGTGCTTCAACCCTGAGGTCTTCATCTCCAAATCGTTGAATTCTGAATGAGAACCAAAATGTAGAACAAATAAAGCTAAGTAATAAAATTAAGCCCACAAATGACAGACGTTACCTGGGCTTGCAATAAGACTCGCCTTGAAATGAAACTCATGAGTTGATAATAAATATGATCCAAGAAAATTTGATAACTAAACTCTCTGAAAAAGTTTGCTCGGTTAATGGCATTTGGCGACAGATTCGAACTTGCAAGGGTTTTAATTTGTCCTACTGTTGTAACCAATGTTGAACATAACTTCTCTCTCAGAGAAATATGATTTGATTTTCGTTTCAAACAAATTAATACTTGAAAAAAACAAAAAGTTGACGTACCAACTTTAGTTGGGACGACCAACTGAGGCAGCGGCTTTCCTTCAACTTCATCCTTAGCCAATTTGAGTTTTTCTACTTTCTCTGTTTTCACCTCATCCTCAACTTCCTTGACGACTTTTTCGTCTTCCTCGACCAGCCTGGCTGATGGACGTCTGCTCACTGTAGGTCGTCTCCTGTGGCTCCTTCCGCCGCCCTCTGTTCCATCCCCTGCAGGTGCAGTCAGCTGGGCTGAGCTCAGGCGGTTACGAGCTTTGCGAGCCGCCTTCAAGAAAAAACAGAAATGGAAAAAAATTGATGAATATAATCTTGGCGAGAAGCGAAGTTAATTCCTGACTACGAGAGGTGCACAGCGCCTCAAGTAAACACCGGTAGAGATATTCCACGAGACACACGTTACAGACCGTAACCCACGGCAGGTATGCCATACGCCGTATGCCAGAGGAGAAGAGCAAGCACGCTTGCAGACACCCAATCCATAAAGACAACCACTTGCGACACAAAACGTCTCGTAGAATGGCAGAAGTTTCCTGAACAACTGTACCAATCAACATGCACTTCCAACTAAGTGATGAACACAATTCCGCAGTACACTACTTTTGCCTCGCTACGCCTGTAATTAGTCTGAAAATTTCTCGCTGCTTTCTTAATTAACAAGTCAAGTGCAAAACTCAAAGAAACTCAGCCTTAGTCACTCTCTCTTTCTCACTTCCTCTTTCTCGCCTTTCTTTGTTCTTTTCCTTTACGTTTATTGTTGTGCTTTACGACACTCGACCCCTTCATGTCATTTCCAGGTTCGATTGTCTTACCGCTGCCACATCGTCTTCTTCAGTGTTCTTCTCATTTTCCGAGTCCTTATTCTCCATTTTGCTTCGGTGTTCCCTGAGAAGGAGGTCCTGTGAAATAAATATTTGTTACCCTTTGGTTACTACTAAGGAATGTCTCGTTAAGATACTAAAGATTTTTTGATAAAAGATCAAAACGGAATTGGTACTTTAGACGCGCTATTGGCAAGAGTTCAAATTGGCTGATTATCACATTTGCAATCTAGAGTTCTTCTTCTGCGTTTTGTTAATCATAATAGCGGTCCCTGAATACTCAAATGAATAAAGAGAGCTACCCCCAGTCACCTGGACAGAGTGAGAATGGTGAACGAAGAATATGTGACAACGCCAAGATAACATGACAAAGAAATTAAAATAAATTTAAGATACAAATTCTAGTTTTACATATTTTATTGGCTTAAAAAAGAGTCAAGCTTTGTTTTGCGACTCAATTGCCGTGAAAACTAGAGGAAAATCATTTTTGATTTATGATGATTTAAATAGTATTTTTTTCTCTCAAGGTAAAGAAATGCGATCTTTTCGTTCTTTTGAAAGTTATGCTCTTTTTTTGTCACAAAAATTAAAACTTAAGGTACACAAAGTGTTCTATCTCAACCCACCCAGCCAAAAAAAAAAGCTCTTGCATGCTACGTATGCCTATATTTTCTTTTCGTTATACCGTTTCCCAATGCAGGATGCCAAGAGACCGGCTACAAGTGGGTAAAACAGTCCCCATCAAGTACTAATGATACTTATTCGGGACTTTCCGGATATTTATTTAATTATTCAACTAGTCCTCAAAGAGATCTCTTTCCATTGTTATGTTTGCGTTAGATTTATTCACCGTCACCAATAAGTGAACCAGACAGTTCACAAAAAACAAAAGGGTTGCTATCCACAAAAATAATAAAGTGTCCTTCGTTATCTTTATTGTGATTTTAACCACCTCCTTTATAATTATCCTGTGTTTTACTTTCCTTTGTCCATTTTGGCGTTACTATAATTATAACCTGTTCAGGGCTCTCGCTAACACGTAAATTTCAGTATGTCAGCCAATTTTGTCTGCGGCCTTGGATCGCAACAAATTACTCGGCATTCTTGGCAAACTTCGAACAAGATTTTCATATGTTGATCAGGGAAATTTCAAATATCCTCTCGCATTTTTTTCCCATTTAGATGCTTAGACCAGGCCATAACGTGACAATTCTACGCGATTCTACCATGATCAAGTTACTTTGCAAGTAACCGTAACGATTGTCTTTCAAAACATGCTAGAACACTACAGTAAAAATATTCTTCGGAGCAAGGTAAACTGAACGTTGCTGCAATTTCAATTTCCAGCAGCAGTAACCGCCGATAACACTGAGTTACATTTTACAACATAAAACACGCGCATAAGCAGGAATAATATCTGTGGTGGACATAAACAAAGTGTTAAACGAGAATAAGACCGGAAATGTTACAATAAAAACTTTCGATCTTTGAGAGAACGTGGTTTCGTGTCCTGCTAAGTGTCTACCAAATCCTTCTTCGTTCACTTCAATTACACATTACATTAACACAGTTCAAGTTGTTATTCCCCTCGTCACTCACCAGTTTGTTGACACTATTTTCCAACTGGTGTATCACAATCTCCATGATCGTGTCCGCCATGACAGATGCCACTGTAAGCTTGTCTTCGCTGCAAATGAAAACAACAGGATCGAGGAAGGGTGGGGATAAGTTACTTGGTCCCATTTCAAGTTTTCACAGACATTTTCATTTCGTTTGTGAACAATAAATATCGAAAGCGTCACGGTGCGGTATTGGCCACTGAAATGTTTCAGGAAATCTAAGGTTTCAATCAAACCACTGAAAAAGAGAAAGGAAGTTTCTAGTCGGAGAATCGTATTGCAATTAAGCAAGCCAGTTTAGCTCTCACGCATCAGTTTTTTATTACCGGCAATGCATCATCGGTTCATAAAATTAGCCAGTGATTTGACCTACGTTTAAGGCTCCTCGTTTGAGGAGTTTTCCTTAATAACTATTGTGAACGTTCATCATATTCGGTGATCCGGTTAAAGAATTGACAGGTCTGGCTTATCTATTATAATTAATAACGGACGTATCTTAACTCTTTAACTTTCATGAGTGACCAAGACAGAATTTCTCCTCATGATATCAATACAAAATCAAGAAGAAAGTGATGAGAACCAAGAAAACTATCAATTAGGGGATTATTAGTTGATCCAATAACAAACTCTTAGAAGTAACATCAGAAGAATTGTATGGCAGCAGACAGTCAGGAGAGGTACTTATGAGATCTTGGGAGTTTAAGGGTTAAAGGCTGAACCAGTAGGGGGGGGTTTATTTTGCATTTCAATTCCTCATATAAACTTTTTTCTATTTCTTTTACTAACATATCAAACGTTATTTACAAACTGTCCGCATTAGTCAAAGGGACGTACATACGTATATGACTGTAAATATATGAAAATATTTAAGTGAACTGCGGATTAAGAAATGAATATGAAAGCGATTTTCGCAGTAACGAACCTTACTTAAGAAGTAATGAAAATAAGGCCTAAAAAAATTCAGTCCAATACGGGATCAGCCCTTATTTTCAATTATGCTCAAGCAAAGATCATTCCTGCGAAGATCGCTTTCATGTTCATACAAATGTAAGCAATATTTGAATGAGATTTTGTCCCTATAGATAAAACATGATAAAATCACAAAGTTGTTTAAGTGTCTCTAACCTTAATCTGTTAGCAATACCCGCTGCAGCACGAGTAAGAATCACTTCCTCCACAAAAGTTTCATTCAGACTTGACTTTCCTTGTGCCACAGCCAGTAAACGGCTTTGAACATCCTATAAGCAACACGGTTTTATGAATCTAACAGACCACTTCTTAATGGTGGATTTATACAATAAAAAGCTCGTGTGCTAAAGAATAGAGGACCTCCTCTGAAGGCTAATGTACTTCACTGAAGGTAAATCTGTTAGCCTAAGATTATTATAACACAACGGCTGTCAGTGTACGAGTTTTATAGTCAACCAGCAGTGAAAAATACGAGATTGCATTTCTATAGCCCTTGGGAACCAGACGAAAATCTTTTTGAAATATATACAACTTACGTCTGAGGAGGTGATATACGGACAAACTTCTTTGGCACAATCGATCATCTTCGCCATATTGTTCTGAAATCACGCAAACACACAAACCTCTATGTTACGAGACAAATAACCCTGATATCATTCTTAAATCGAAAGCAAAGATTCATAATCCAGTTGACACAGGACGTTTAAGGTTGGTCCTACATAAAGCAGTATGCCTATTTTGGGCCACAAGGACCCGCTCATAACCCATCAGCACTTAGCGATGTAACATTCGACCTTCGGAGACTGGAGCTCAATTTCTTTGTGGGATTCGCATTTTTACTTTTTCATTTTTTTGTCCATTAACTCGACGACAAACAATTGATAAACCAAAAGGATATGAATACATGTAATAGACATTTCTTAACCTTTGGGTGAATACAACACTCTACACTTTTTTCTTTTTTATACAAGGTTTTAATTCAGGCTGCAAACAGCGAACGTTGACAACCAAACTACAACCTTCAATTTCGCGTATAAATTTGTTTTTAATCAAAAGTATGCACTTCCCTTCACTTTACACTGACTGGTCAAGTTTTGTAACGTTTTCCTTACTTACCTTCATTTTCTCTTCAGCGGCTTTGTAAAATTCCCCAGCCAGCTCAGCAAATCTGGCTTCAATATCACTGTCACTTGTGCACAAATGGAACTTCAGTAGCAACTGTTGAAACAATATGACCTTTTATCTTCCAGTAATTGTGATCAGATCTGACATATTTATTACAATCACGTTTGACCAAAGAAACAGACGAAACAAATGAAATCCAAACACACTGAATTTTTCTCCACTAAATAAATTTAGAAATTTTACGAATGGATTACAAATTTAAAAAAAATATATTTTGCGCAACAAATCAGCTTGCCTCAAATGGACGAGTGTGTGGCGACACAGACCTGGAAGAGGGTGAAAAATTCCTCCAACATAGAAAAATTCGGAAGAGTTTTAGAAGCACAATCAGGTTTTGGCGTGTGCAGCCTAACTCTACCCCTATCCAACTGATCACTGTCAGGCTTGATAAAAGAATAGTTTCAATTGGGTGCTGGAAGTAATAAGGGATTGCTTTGGTTTTGCCCCACTTCGCTATCTGATTGGTTTAGAAAACTCCCCCTATCATCTCAACCAATCACATTTCAAACATTAACTCCCTGGTTTTCGGTTTTACGAACCTGTATCGAAGTGCGCTCTTTTGTGAAGCCTTATTTGCTCTTTAAAGTCTTTACTTTACTTAGCAAACTTGCTCGCGACAAATGTCGTGGAAATTTGTTGTATAGTATATCTACCATAAAAAACATTTATAACTTCTCATTATCGACCATGTCATGCAAGAGAAATTGTCACTTTTCCATTGACGCAATTGCACCAAGAGAAATCTGACAGTGAACAAACCTGTTTCAGTTTGTCTGCATCCTGTATATAATTTTTGGCAGTTTTAATCTCATTCTTCACATTTGGTTCCTGGGAGGATCGGAGCGCGCTCACGAGGTCCTGTAACTGCACCACAAGTCGGTCCACCATCTGGGGAAGTCGAGGAATGATAAGTAATATGGAGCCAACAAACACATCAACTGACCGACAATTGGTACTAGATTTCTCAAAAAAGAAACCTCACAATATCTGTAGTCGTTTTTCTGCGGCGTGAAAAATAACTTTCCACGTGACGAAGCATTGAAAATATTGGGTCGACAAGTCAGAAAAGATACAAGAGAAAATAAGCTAAGAAAGAACATGGATGGCTGTGGGTGGAGAAGATATGCACATCATATCACCAAGTTAAATCTCTCTGCATGAGGGAGAGTTATGCCCCTTTCGAAAAACAAACCTCCAACACATGTTGATTTGAGTTTGTCGTTGTACCTCAGAGAGCTCCCTCATGGCTATCAAGTTTTTCTTACTTCCACCGGTATGTGAGATTCATCAATTCAGAGAATGAGGATATGGAGATTTTTAAAGTGATACTGCAAATTTTAATCGATCATATATTTTAACAAGAAGTGACTTTACTTCAAACTGCAAAACAATTTTTGTTTGACGTACCTGTTGCTGTGTAGAGGTGAGCAGCAGGCCTTGCTGTAATCTGTAGGCCTGTTCTGTAACTACTTTGTGCGGAGACTGATTCCTCAGCAACAATTTTTCGATCTGCAACGAAATACATTATGATATCAATAAATTCAACGTTACCATAAAGGAAAAACATCCACGAAATACTCTGCTTCCTTTTGGTTATGTTAATTAATTTTAAACCTGGCAGGAGTTACGTAACCCAGAACTGTCAAGGAATCTATTAATATTCGTTTTCGTTCCACACCACGTGTTGTAATTTTCTTGTCAGTTACAGTTTAGTCGTTGTGTATTAAAGGTCTTTTCTTAAAGTGGAGTCGTTTCGCGTTTGAAGAACACAACACTTTTCTTGTTATACACGTACGAAATTTAATTTTACCGATTTTGAAAACCAATTTCAAAAGCGTTATAACATAAAGTACAGGAATGTAAAATTGAAGCAATTTTCAAATCGAGTGTCAGAAGTACCAACGAACTGTGCTACTTCCACTTTGCTACGCGCTCTGATTGGTCTACAAAAGAATCGCATATCTCTGTCAACCAATCTGATGTAAACCAAAACCAATCGCGACTTGGACACTTGCGTTTTCCCGCGCTTGACACCATTTGCACGTGTTCACTTGGAGTTTTCATTGGCTGAATGTGACATTTTCCATCACTCCGATAGGCTGTATTAGATAACTTAGTTCAGTTTTCGACCCTGTAATAAAAAGCAATCTATTGGAAGTTCACTGATTAATATTCACCTTTCTTAAGTGCTGCTCTGTCTGTGGTTTGAGCGACTGCGCAGCATCGTGAAGAGGCATCGGCATAGAAAGCAGTGTGTGATTGCTAGAATACAAAAACGCAGACGTGAACAGCATTTCTTTAATCCTGTTTAACAATTACGCTAGACAAATCTTGTGGGAAGTTATACTCACCTTTCTAAGGCTGCTGCGATGTCAGCAAATCCCCTGTATGTTGTTCCATTCTTGTCCCAGTCAAGCGTTCTGAAATGTTCCAAGGTATTTTATTTTACCCTTAAACAATTGAGTTATCGATAAACGGCCTTTACGAAGGAGCTGCGCACAAAATAATCGTTTGTAGAAGCAGAAAAGCACCACTGAGGATGTCATACGGCGAAAGAGCTAGCTTACTATGGTTGACGATGGATAGAGGTGTAATCACAATTACCAACTGACCAAGCCAAACCATCAGTCAACATATTCCGATTCCATCAAGAAAGGAAACCTTGGTGTATGGGTTTATTTTTGTTGATAGAACTCTAAATATTTTTTTCGCAAATATCTTATGTCTGGCGCGACGATTTCAGCAAAGCTCAGGGAAAGTGGGACGCTGACGTCATTTCTCACCTTAGTTTGGTGTTGATTTGAAGAGCTTTAGCCAGAATGCGTGCTCCCTCGTCACCAATTTGGTTTCCACTGAAAAACAAGCACAATCCGAGTTAGTGAATTTTAACTTACAATTATCTGTGTTTGCGAATACTATTAACTAACCTATTAAGAAGAACAAAACTTTCTGAACGATGATACTGAGAAACCTTTCCGTCAACAACCTGCGACGGGTGTTTGAGATGGACAACCGTGCGTTCGTAAACTGCAAGCAGTGGCAAATTTTGAAAAGCTGTCGGTGCGTGTAAGTTAGAGCACAATTTCGGTTCCTCAAACTTTTTCGCGGTACTGAGACAGAAATATAAAATTATGCTCGGTTAACAAAGCTGCTGGTTTTACCTAATGTCAAGTTCTGTCAATGTTTCATTCGTTCCGAGAGCATCCAGTAACGGAATGATGTCATGTTTAAGTTTGGACTCGGCTAACGAGATTGACTCGAGATGCTGAAAAAAGGAAAACAATAGAAAAAGTCAGGGAAATGTCACTGATTTCTGCACTAAGATATAAAATCAAACAATTAATGTTACTTTGTTTGCATGTTTGGTTTTTCTGACTCACTGAATTTTCTTCAGATAATAGTTGCACCAATGCCTCCATAATTGCAGATGAGCTCCTGAAAGACATAGGAAACAGAACTAAATATCGAACAGGGATCACATAAACAAACCCAAAGGTTCAAGTAGACATGACTATGGAGGGGCTTTGGACAATATCGCTACTGAAACGAGCAAAAAAGTTTCTACAGTTTAACAAGAGAGAAATATACAAATTGAAAATGTTAACGGCGAGAAAGAAAAAACATTCCGACACAGCAGAGAACCTTTAAGATTTGAACCTTCAAATTTGGGCTTTCCAATCCGTTTCAATTCTCTTCATCCAAACGCATTCTTGTTTAATCCTCGCATTTTGAAGTTCTTTCTTAACAAACCAACATTTTGCTGTTCTCGCACGTTCAGGGCAATTATTTTAACTGGCGGAAAACGAACACAATACCTCACCGTATCCCCTATAATGAACGTGAATAACTTACCTTTGTTTCATATTCTGTCCCAAGTTTAGATATTTCAATGTCTTGTTTGATGACAGCTTCTCGAGAATCGGAATTAACTCCGTATCAAATCCTGAAATTAGAGGAGATAATTCCAATATTTGTTCAGGTCAGCAGATTCACCTTGGATCTAGTCGCTGAAGTAAAGCTAGGATCAGTCACACAAACACCCACCATTATCACTAATGTTCAGCCTGCTGACACATTTCAGGTGGGTTATATTGTCTGCTATGGCTTTCGCCCCCAGACCTCTGAGCTGCAAATAAATTGATATAACCATTACGAGGTCTACATCACTGTAAGGAGAAATAACGCGTTAAAAGTATTTCAGGATTGAATTAGTTTTGCGTCACTGCCCTCTGTGAGTGGTCTAGAAATTTCACATCAACTCCTCAACCAATCGAATGTAAGGCTACAAGCAATAACGACTTTGTAACTCGCGTTTTCCCGCGGTTCTCGGATGACGCAGATTACACGAGTTTATTCTGAACTCTCATTGGCTCCTAGTAACATTTTCTTTTGTTATGATTGGCCGTCGTAATTGCAATGCTTTTGGTTGTACGAAACGGCAGCGAAGAGTGCTCTGAATAATTTTCAGGCGACGAAAATGTCTTCTGTCACAATTTTTGTATTAATATCATCAAATCTTGACTGACATATGTTCAGTAAAATGTCAACATTTCTTGCAAAAAATTTTCACCACTTGTATGGACGACTTAAACAAACAAAAATAACCTTCTACCAGAAAAACAGTAAACACAAAAAATCAAAACTTAAACCTCACACTCCAACCATGATTTTCCAACTTAGCATACCTCATTGTTGCTTAAGTTGAGTTCAACATCACAAAGGAAACTGTTTGCACGTAGTCCTTCAAGAATTGCTCTACAAAAGATATGGAAAGAGATTGAAATAATGGCAGAATGTAATTCCTAAACATTTTGTAATCCTTTTTATAACGACAATGTAACCACATTTTACCGTGCATTTTGCAAACTAAATCAATTCATTAATCTAAACATACAAGTTGTGATGCCCAACATAGTTGGGCATCACACACATGCATCCAGTGGTTCTAAATAGAACCTTTCCAAGTCAAATTAAAATGGGGGTATCGGTGTTTGGGGAAAAAGAAAAATTCTCAGAGAAAGGCCAAGAGCCAACAATGAACTCCAACCACATTTGACACCAGGTCCAGAAATCAAATCAGAACTGCCGTAGAGTGAAACAAATAAGGCACAAATAATGCTTTACTCGGAGGGTTATATTTGACAGTAGTAGAAAAACACTAATGAACTCGTTGCCCTCATTACCGTTAAAAATACCTAAAAATCGGTATAAGAATTCAAAAGTTGTATACATCACAAGATTCAAAATTTAAAAATAAATATCCTATCGGCAATTAAAAATAGATAAAAAAAATTTCTTCATTAAAATAATATCATTCAAAATCATCTTTCAAGTAGTGAGGAACCTTTCTGGTCACTTTCTGAAAATTTCTCATATAAACTGCTCTTGAAACTAACAAAAGAGACTTTCTTCCATGTGCTTTACTCTATAGGGTTCCATTCCGTTATTGTCCTAACCATAAAAGTTCGCCCTCGCTCAGTCTTCCTTGAATACTTCGGACAAATTAAGTTAAAGTTGGAATATCTAGTCTCTCTTTCGTGGATATCCGAATTTGCAATTAGGAAGCGCCCTCATAACTGCATTACACGTATCTCTGCTTCCCAAATTGATAATTTTCAAATAGCATGAAAATGCTTGCCATAGTTCTGTGGGCTCAGTAATACTCCTCGTATCATTACATCAGCACTGACCTGATGGCGTCAGAATGTAACTTGCAGTCTGATACATCCAAACATTTCAGAGCCTGGGAGGTGCTAAAAAACTGTGAGGAAAGTAACCAACATCAATATTTGAAACAATTCCAACGAAATTGATCATGGATGCCACAAACAAAAGAATTTAACATTGATATTTATCATGACACAGAGCACACCAGTAGTAGTAGTTTTATAAAAGTAGCATACTAGAAGGCAAACAAAAAATTTTACAGCAATTTTAAATTGAATATCAGTAACAGTAAGGATTGTTTTGATTTTGCTTTACTTTGCTTGGTGCATGGAGAACTTCCTCCACAATATCAACTAATCAGATAGAAAAAAAAAAGTGCAATTAGGTCACCCATTTTTGCCCACTCTATCAGCAGTTTGCTTGTTCTTGTGTATCATTTCCGTTAGCCCTTTGTAATATTTTTCTTTCCTCTAATTCTGGGCTGTTGAGATTTCGTTCATATGAGCTCTACAACACTCAATTGAAATGCACTCTACGAGGGGATTCTATCTTTCCATATTCAAAAGTTATTCTCCCTTCTAGGTGTTACTGTCAATTAAATGAAAATAATTTAGTCTTCTATCACGACAACACTCTCCTACGGATAACTTTTTAATTTCTAATGTGTGAATAATGTGGTGAAGTGTGGGGAGCTTTTACAGATTCCATTGAGAGTCGAAAAAACCAAAACCAAAGTAATCAAAACAGCCAATCAGAAGAAAGGAAAATACCCTGAAGAGCCAATGAGATCTCAAAGTCAAAATTACCAGACTGCCTCAAGTGCGGGAAAATGTGGGCAATCAAGTTGTGATTGGTAAAGGGAGTGGTGCGAGTTTTCTGCACCAATCACAGAGTGAACTAAAGCAAAAACAACTGCAATCTCAGATTACTTCTGGTACTCAATTGCAAATTGGTGTAATCCCCTTTGAGAGTTAAAGGGTTAAAAAGTACACTGTGTGATGTGAAGGTGCATCAAACATTTCCACAGTAACGTATACAAATTGTCTTTATTATTCCTCTTTCCCTTCATTCACTTCTTTGGAGTATTAAGCCCAACTTCAAAGCAACATGTACAACTGAAACAGTGATCTTACCTGTTTGAATGAAGGTGGAACAACTGCATCTTTAGTTTTCCTGTGAAAAATTTAAAAAAAAGATTGGTTAGCAACAACAAAAATTAAATTCACAGCTAAATTTACAAAAATTGCACAATTCCAATTGAGTTTCAATCTCTCAGATTTAGTGTGGCAGACATTGCTCTTGATATGGTCTCTTATCTTGCTTACTTACAAGCTTACAGTGTATATTTGCTTACTTTGAGGTAAAACTGTTACCAGCCACGTTGATGGTTGCTAAGTGTTGAATGCAGCCTCGGATGAGAGCACCAAACAACTGGAAGAGATGAAAATTCCATCATTAGGAAACACTGCAATTCTAATACAACTAAATGCAGGCTAATTAACCAATAAGGAATGATTATGGAATCAATGAAACAATGAAAAACACCATTGGAGTAATGTTAATGTTAAATAGACTCACATAAGTCAGATAATGTTCATAAGACTGGAAAAGGACAAAGATTATAAGCAAAACAAATGTTTAAATAATAAAAATAATAATTTATTGTTACCAGGTCAAGAGGACATTCAGTTGATGAGAGATCCAAGTGGGTCAGCATATTTGGCTTGGCTAAGAAATCACACAAACCCTACAAAGGAGGAAAAAACTCTTTCAGGTAAGAATTTATTGGAGTCTTTTCCTATGCTAAATGCATTTAATGTCAGAATCAGATAGGATAGTGTATGCAGCATTCTGCTGAGATTTTCTAGTAGCCAGCTGTAAAATAAACGGCAGCCAACAAGGGAGAACATTTTTTTTTAATTAAATAAAGGTCTTTAACTGTTTGGTCTAATGTGAGTGGCCCCTGCATAGGAAACAAGGACCAGCTGGTGAAAACCCTGGCCACCAGGGCTTCTAAAGGACACTGATTATGAAAGTCATTATTACAGAGAGTCAAACAACTACATGGAATCTAAAAATCCCAAGAAAGAAACTTACAGCAATTCCATCTGCTTTAAGAGGATTTTTGCTCAGATCCAGTCTACATGACCAGAGAAACAATACAAAAACAAACATATTAGTAATACTAATTCAGCATACAAGACAGACTCATGTCACTGTTGAAGCTTATCAGTGCAGCAGACTCTGTAGCATGGAGTGGCCAGTAGGAGTTAAATGTATTTACTACTCCTCTAGTGTGGATGTTAGTCTGTTGCACATACCACAAGGAATTTGTCAGGACCCCCTAACAATTAGCCAGAACACATTTATATGCTTGGCTAAAGAGAGACAAAGTGAGGAGGGGCATGAACCCAAACATTTCAATCCAAAGTCCAGTCCAGTCCAGTCCAGTCCAGGCTACCAAGTCTCCCCCAGAGAAAACTACTTATAAAATAATGTATGTCTAATTTCAAATGTCGTTCCTGAAAGAACATAAACTGAGTGAGGATATCATCAACTCAGAAAAGATAGTTATACAAATAGGCAAAAAAAAAGAACATCTGAAGTAAAACTTAGGGTTAGCTCACATCCAGATCTAATAAGACTGAACACAGCAGGCACAAGTAGCTAAAAAGTCTCTGCCACAAACTGCTTCATGTGAGCTGCTTTCAAAACAGCTTAATGAGATTTATTTTAATACAATAATTATAACAAATTCAAGCCAGTTTTAGGATTTTTACCAAAAATCATGTCACTTGATATCTCAAAGTGTTTTCAAGCCTTAATTTTTTCCCCTTTAAAAAGATTAAAAAGGTTCAATCTGTAACTTACAAATGATTTAATAACAGAAGAACATGAACTACATTCATTAAACAAAAAGGTTTGCTCACCTGTTAAAGCACATGTTACATACCTTTGCAATGAACTTTCACTATACTTGCTTGACTTTAGGGCCTGACCCAAAGTAGAAGCTCCTGGAAAATACAAAAAAGGAAAAACCTGTCAATGAAAGATGTTTCTTCTTTGCAGATTGATCAAGGGTTCAGCACTGGCAAACTGCGTCAGAAGGGAGGGGAGGAAGTTGACATGAAAGAGCTGGCATTTTATTTTTGTTTTGGATTGCCTGTAATTGCATGGTGGTGTTGAAAGAAGCTTTTCACCTCTGCAGCATGCAAATAAAAGTATGAACAGTTTTGCCAGCTAAGTTGTATAGGCACTTGTGAATCTGAACAAGGTTCCTTGTAAAATATTTCAAACTGAAGTTTCTACATATTTAAATATCTACCTTTTGATGTGATTCCATTGTCAGCAAGAGAAAGAAAAACCAAACCATGAGGAAGGTTACTGAATGCACCAGATAAGTGTGTTAAACCTTTACAAACAAAGGAAAAACAAAAAAATAACAAACATTTAGTCAGTTATAACAAATAATAATTGACAAAATGTCTATATACAGTTCAAGGAGGTGTCTACAGGGAAAAAATATACACTAGTACAAGTTCTTAACCAAGATGAAAACTAGATTTGGTTTTATGATGAGTTAATCTTTTTCTCCTCATCTCTCATTCTAACTGATAAAGGCACAATCCATTGGCAAAAGCTGCATGTGAACTACCTGTCTCAGTCCACCAGGAAGTTGGTTTCATACAAAGACAAGTAGGTCTTCTTTGCTCTCATAAAAAAATTAAAAGATTTTGTGCCAGACTGAAATTCTCACTTAAGTGCAGCAACCAGGGTGAACTAGCACTATTGTGACTCATCACCACATAATATTTTCTTTTCTTTGTCACAATTATAATAATAATATGTCATTTTCTCATGTGCATGCGTGAATAATGAGCTATATGAGAGGGAACCAAAGCGAACTCATGTTGGTCTAAATATCTGTTCTGTATCATGAAGACAACCTCTAACAGAATCACATTAACATGCCTTTAAATTTAATTTTAAAGGAAGAAGCAACCGTTTTGGAAGTAATGGGCACTCTGAAAGAAGAAATTCCAAACAGTTTTGGGAAACTGCCAATAATGTCATTTACTAAACTTGATCGCAATTCATTTGAAAGCAATGATGTTTTACACTGAACGTTAAGATGCTATATAGTATATATCATGTTTTAATGGAGGGGGGGGCAGTGGGGGCATCAGCAAAGAAGAAGATCAAGCCATTGCCAAATTTAGAACATGGAGTTTCCCTTAGAAACATTTCAAATAACTTTATCCACCATGGTCCACATGTACAGGTACAGATGAATTTTATCAAATTTATCAACTACGTTCAACTGAGACATAATTCTTACTCAATGGCCAGTGAGTATCATTATTTTGCAGTCCTGCAAAAGACTAAGCTGTGATTGATGACATGTTATGAAACAATAAAGTGATCAACAAAGACTTAAAAACCAACCTCTATCCTCAATAGAGTTGATGTTTAAACTCAAGGAGTGCAAAGCTGTTTTGGGATTTGATGTGAGAGCCAATGCAAGTTTCTGACAATGATCCCTAAAAGGTCACAAATTGAACAACTATTATAAAGCAGAGTTCAGGAAAGACTAGGAATATCAAAACAAAGGAATGGTAACTACAAGGTCAACATTCTCACATACATTTACAAGTCATGCATTTTTCTACATGTGTGCAAGTCTCTAGTGTAGTTTGGTGTAGCCTTGATGATCTGGAATCACTGACTGGGGTTAATTTGCCTCTTTTCCTGCTTCCACTGTGGTCTACTGTCAAACACTACCTATAGCCAAGTCTCCTTTGGTTGCTGGTTAATATTGGTCTGGTTCAGCTTAGTCTAGTGTGGTCTGATAATACCTAATCTCTTCTTATATTCACATCTGGTAGTTCATAAATATATGTGGTCTAATATCTCCTCTAGTTTATTAAAGCCTTATCATCATTATAACCTGGCTGGTTTCTGGTCTAGGCTTTTCTCTAGTCTACATGTAATCTTGTCTACAAAATTATATTCTAGTCTTATCTCCTGGCTTTGTCTAGTTTATTACCCGCTTACCCCCAAACTAACATGTAGTCTGACATCTGTTCTAGTCTCGTTGCTGGTCTACCACCTTGCATATAACCTAGCATAGATTGGCCAAGTATCTGGTCTACATGTATAACTTGTTTCTGGTCACATTCTAACCAGGTTGAACGAAGCCATTGGGAAACGAAGGTAACTGTAGCCCACACAATAAATGATACCACTAACTATCTATATTGCCCTTATATAAACCTTACATTGTAAAGAAAATATGTGGCCATAATCAATAGATTGCATTTCAATAAAACAACAATCAGATTCTGATGTCTTAAATTATTCTACATCCATGTTCAGTCCACTATGTACCTGCCAAAACCAGCACTATCAAGTACTAGTTCTTCCACTGTTGTAGACTTCTTTGCAGCTTTGCAAATGGCATCACAGACTTCTGATCCCTAATAAAAGGAATATTTAACAAAAATTGTAAACAAGATTAAAGTTAAACAGGCCATTTACCACTCTTTCCAGACAAGAAAACATACAGCCTTGTTGGAAGATGGTTTGGGTTCATTGAAAGATTGTGAGCTCTTTTTGCATGTATTTCAAGACTAAGTTTCCCATTCTTTCTGTTACAGTATCAATTCAGATGTTTGCAAACACATACCAGTTTATATGAGTCACATGTCACTTTAGTGAACCAATCATTATACTCAAGAGTTGAAATAAGAGGAACCAAATCCCTGGAAGATTAAAGAATAATTGTAATTAGAAATGATCATAAATAAATGAATGAAAACAAGAGCAGTTATTACGTTTTGAAGAAACCATTATATTGGAGATATCAGTGTAATAGTTATGTGGCAAAGTAAAACATCACAGCAATCAACATCTTAACACATAACATTGAGTAAGCTCAGCTGCAACGGGTGTTACAGAATACACCCCCTTACCAAAAGCACTGGGAAATTTTAAGAGTGACAAGTATGTCTGAAATGGTCATATGAGAACAACATTGAAAATTATGATTTTTCAATGACAAGTAGAAGTATCATGCAATTTATGGCCAGCATTTTGTCCTTTGCAAAGGACTTGAACAGATATTTTGCACAAACCATGTTACACATTACAAAACAGCTGACTTACTTGTGCTCAAGATGATCAAAGTCTTGAATGTTCAACTCTTTGGTATTGAGCGATAAGTAAATTGTGTCAATATCCTGCAGATACAGCAAGAAAACATAAAAAGCTTTAAAACTGATCAAAATGCACACTGTTATTGAACATTGTACTTCTCAGAATCACCAATGCCAAATGCTCAGACCAAAAAAACTAATAAATGCCATCTTTATTTACCAATTTTATTCACCATAAATACATACCCAAACAACCTCTTCAAGATGTGACTGGCCATACAAATCACACATTGACACATACACTTTAGAAAATCCACCTTCAGAAAGAGACATACAGAAAATGCAGAGTAGGTAGATTCAGCACAATAATTATTATATAACAACAATAATAACAAAAGCTAACTAAAACTAACCAAAATCATGATTATACTTGTAATTAAAATTGCAAAAATCTTAGAACTAATAATAAAATAACAGCAATATATTAACATAACTGTATCCCTTGATGCAAGGAGATGCACATGGCTGTTGGTATATAGATGCTTTGCTGGATGTTCCTGAAAGCCAACTACCTATGTGTGCTAAATTACATTTTAAAAAATATTGAAATGCACACAAGTGTATCAGTGACATAGAGTGCAGCAAACCTTTCAGCATGTGCGATGCTAATACAGGGACTGATAGTGAAGGGTACTGTCAGTATACTTTTGACCTCATTTCTTCAATTCCTAAATTTATCATACCATGAACCTCTCGCAATTTATCAAAAATAAACATTCACCACAACTCACCACAAGGTCCAATCTCCACATCTCCTCCTGAATTCCGCAGGTTATTGACCAGTGTGGTCACCTGTTCTTGCCTCATGTCACTCTCTTCTGGTGGTCCATATGTCACCCTCAGAGAACGGCTGTAAGTTTGTGTTAAGAACAACATTCATACCCCCACAAATCTATATATGGAAAGCTGCCAAACTGTAGAACACACTTTTTTACCTCACAAATCAGCACTGTTATTCCCCACAGTATCAACAAGTGCCTATCATTCAATTAATTTATTCTTGTTTTCTCATCACCATATTCCCACCAATGGCATAGCTCTATTTTCTGCATATAAACCCTCATACAACCCACAATTCCTCCAATCACTTGGACAAGGGGCTTATGCTTGAAACATCAGCTTTTAAACTCTTTACTGTGGCCAATTTACATTATCAACTCAGTTAATAATACTAAATTACTAATTAAAATCTATGCACAGCCATTTTCACCAACATTCATAAATATCATAAGAATAAATAAGAAATACCGTAAATGTCCATGTATAAGCCCCACTTTTTTTCACAAAATTGAAGCCAAAAATCAAGGGTGCAGCTTATCCATGGATACATACCAGAAAGCTATGAGAATCTCTTTGGAGATAGCAATAGCGAGGACTTTTATGACTTTTAATAATGAACACTGACTCTATCAAATGTTCATGTGAAGAACAGTAGCATCTTTTATAAATTACCTGAAGTATTGTAATATCAATTAATGAAATAGAAACTGATATGATTGCATCAGTGGGCATGCTTTATGTTCATGCCCAGGCCCAGACTCCTCCCAAATTTAAAGCTTGGCTACTAAGCACTTGTTTTTTTTTTCAATGCCGAAGGAATTTCAACTTAATGGCGTGTTTTGAAGTGATAATCTTGAAAAATTAGATGGAAAGAGCATTTTAAGTTAAAGATGGTGTAAATTCCAATGAAAAAGAAGGTATGACAAATGAAATTCTGCTTTCTTTAGACTTAATAAATGTGAAAGATAGCCACAACTTCTCTGTCAGTGTTTCGAAACCTTCTCCACTGAAACTTCAGACTGTATTGTTTTTATTTTTTTCCAAATTCTGCGCTTACAAATTGGGGGTGCAGCCTATCTACGGATGCAGCTTATACATGGACGTTTACGGTAATTGCCAACCTAAGAAGCTTTGATCGTTAAATGAATTCTCCTTGTTGATATCAAAGGAAATGTATAGAGAACAGTGTGGAGAATATGCATACTGATGCTTAACTGGAAAGGGTTCAGTACATATTTATCTAATAATAATATAATAATAATACTTACTCTGGGTTACCCGATGGAAAGTTTGATTTGAGAGCAACCAAGATGTGAGCAATAATCTCTGTGCAATCTTTGGGTTGAAAAAGTCTGAAATAATTTGGCTTCTCCCCACATAATACTGTCAACTGAAATAAAATGATCAAATGTTTCACTGTATCAAAACACCAAAATATCATACATGGATATTAACTGGAAACAGCACCTAGTAAAAAATCAGTTATAGAATATATTAATTCTGGATTTGACATTGTATTTAAAAAGTATGAAATTATTACTGACACTATTTTAAAAGAGTAGACCAGTCATCATACAATACCAAAAATGAAACAGATTGAGTCTTATAATTACTTCAGGGTGTTGCTTGAAGTTCAGTTAAGACTGATTCACTCATCAATTGGTGAGATAAAGTATGATGACCTGAAAAATTTAGACATGAATGAAAGTGATCCTCGCAGTGATGCACACTACTTGAGAAGTAGTGAAAATAAGGCCTGAAAAAAAATTCAGGCCTTTTTTTCACTACTTCTCATTGCGATTGACAAGTAGTGTGCATTACTGCGAGGATCACTTTCATTCACATCTTTATCCACAGTTCAAATATATGACTTTCATATATTCTTAGCCTGAAAAATTTAGAGTAGTGTAACTGCCTTTCTGAAAACAACTTACCAAGAGAGGTTTACTACTTTCAATTTTCTGTATTTCCAAAACATGCATGCTAAAATCCACCTACAAAGATAGAAAGGGAGAGTAGCTGTAAGCTGCATTTCATGCTCAGTCATGGCTCTAAGACTACAATATGCAATATGCAATATGCAATATGCATTTAATTGAAACTCATCAAAATATTTCATTAACTCTAATAGGCCATTTTACAGTTGTGTACTTAGTTGCCAAGCCTTTGATTTGGAGTGAGGCTGAAGTTGACCATGTTGTGACAGAGACTAGTATCTAGTTAGTATAATTACAAAGTAATTTACATTTGAAAAGCAGCAAGGTTTGTATCATAACATGATCACCCTTAGCCTCATTCCTGTTCAAAGGCTTGGCAACCAAGCACACAACTGTAAAATGGACTATTACAGAGAAAATAATATTTGTATAATATTTTGACCAAACAAAATAATTGAATGATTCTTTCACAACATATCAATTCAATTTTTAAATTTTTCAGTTATCATAATGCCACTGAAGCATTCAGAAAAACTCTTTTCCTCCTAAAAGACCAGATTGATTCAGCAGATCAACAGTTTGTGGTACATTTTTGCTAATGGACATGAGAGGAAAGAAATGCTTATAATACCTTTTACTATTGCCAGAGCATTGCAGTGAGGAATTGAAGAGGACAAGAATTCTAATGAACCTTTATTGTTGTTGTAAGTTATAACAAAAACAAAAACATTACCATCCTTAATATAAGTTTTACCTTGCAGCCATTCTTGGTGCTGGTAAGTACATAGAATCGATGGGCTGAGAGAGCCTGAAAAAATACAAGGACTGTTTAAAAATAACTCAAGTTCTTTTTGTTTTCACACAAATGAAAGAAAATTATTCAAAAATGCCATAAAATAGCTCACAGGTACACCTAAAAAAATACTATGAGTGCATCAAGGATACAGTAATAATCATTTAATTAAGAAAGAGACTGCATTTTCTATCAGTTTACCGATGTAATAACCCATGTGGGAGAACAAAACACACATTTGTTACTCCCAACATCCCATCTCTTTTGTACCAGTGCATCAGTAGAAGAGCAGTCTATTTCTTCTATACATTAGACTTTAAATGTTTTCATTTTCTGAAGGTTTGGCAGTGCACTAAACAGTAGGTTTTTAGACCAATCATCACACTCATAGTATGCCTATCAGTTCTCTTACAAAGAAGATTGACATCTTATATTCTGCAGTGGCAGAGAATTATTTGATATGATGTATTAAAACACATTTACATTTACATTTACATCCTTTAAACTCTATCTAAACACAGCTATGTGCAAACTATCCTATTTCCTCTACATGTATATAAATTTCAAATCAATTCAATTTCATGGACATGCAATTGAAAAGAAAAAAATACAGCAAAACTAAATTCTGCTCTGATTAAAATTTCCCAGCCATGTCATGGGAGACTGGACAGGTTGACAAATAACCTGCCTCATTAACTTTTCCTTTTGTTCTCTCACAAGGAACTGATTATGATCAATATCAGCTTAACAATGAAGCACAAAAATAAGCCCATGGAAAAAAATAGAAAACACATGTTTTATGCACGAACAGCTGATTGTACAGAATAAATTCTTTATGTATACTTTTATTTGCACACCAGGGTGTCCCCTTGCAGTTTATTATGCAAGGTAAAAGCAGAGATCAGAAGAGGCCCTCAGGCAGAATAACACCACAGACACAGGAATAATTCTAATACATTAAATCCATAACTGAATTATTCATTCACTAGATAATCAAAATTAGTCAAAACAAATTCAGATGAAAGAATGACCATCTCATTACAATAATCACTTCCCTCTCAATTTACTTCAATCTTCAATCTCTGCAAGTCCACCTTCCCCCCACAACAACAATGGCTGGTAAAGTACATCATGCAGTGTAATTGCCAAAATACCCTCTCCTCCAGCACCAGTTTATTAACAACTGACACAAAATACTGTATAAAATGGTACAAACACACCCTTGAAAACGAAAATTCAACACAAAAAAAATGTCTTTACCCCAAGATGCAAAAGTTTTACAAATGAATTTTTTTCACATTTTCCTCTAAAAATCAAGTAGTGGTTGTTTTGAACTTGTTATACCATTAAACAAAACCATTGGCATTTGTAACTAAAAGTGTTCTTGCATTCAACTGGTGTCCTATTATACCCAATTCTTTCCTGTATCAGTCAGCTCTCTGCAAAAGCAACTGTCCTTGTTATGGAGAAGTTTAAATGTAAACAGACTGTAAGCATATGAGTACATCTTCTAACTAAAGTATATGTAAATTCAGCTTGCACGCCCCTTGTCTCTTAAAGTAAACCAATACTTTTAAGTATCAAAATTAAGTGTTTTTGACAATAAAACAGAGTGTTTTATTAACTAGAAAATTATGGTTCAAGAGTGAGTAGACATTCTCACTTATAAAATCCATCCTTTATCCTCGAAACTATTGATAAATCAAGGCTCAAGGATTGAGAATTTATCAACATTGAACATGCATACATATACGTGTATATAATTATGTACAGTACCATCATCATTTTGTAGGAAAAATTAACAAGTTTATGGAGCTAACAGCAATATTGCCCAAAGTACTATGCTCCATAAGAGTGTACAAAACAAAGAAAATCAAGTATAATAAGTACAAACAGATTAATAGTGATATATGCTAGGTTTTGACTGTCTTTTCTGACAAAATCAGATATTGGATTAAGGCTTTAAGATAAACACTCTTAAACACTCTTCCTGCTTTTAAATGAGAAATACAACATAGTTTTCCCAAAAATGATAGAATGACACCCACACAGGCACCATGTACATGAAGGCTCAATTCTTCTTCAAGCCTTGCCAACTCCTTGTGCGACATTTTACCACAATGACAATTTTCCCTTACAATTATGTATATTTTCATAACCCATTATAAGTTATTACTTCTGTTAATAAGTTTTTAAGTACTAGACAGAACCAACTGCAAAGTAGATGGCCAGTGGAATTTTCATCTTTACTCTAACTAATGTTGTTAGTTTCGGAGAAAAAAAGGCTGCAATTTTGCTTTACATAGACAGCAAATTTTGCAGGTTGCCAGATCTTATTGAAACTCTTAATTACAACATTTAACTTGTCCTTGCCTGTAAAATACTGTAACATTATGTATTAACCATTTCCTCTTTTAGAGGTAAATCTGAAGTTTGATGCCAGTGAAGAATAAATTTTTACCACTCTCTATAGGAACACTATTGATGGTAAATAAGTACAGTGAGCCCAAAAATCTCTTGTATAAAGATACAATTCAAAACTTGTTTAAGATCAATATCACTCTTTCAATTCCCATCACCTACATTTTCAAGAGCTTAAATAATGACAAAATGTATGGCAATAAAAGATTATGAAAGCAATTTTATATACCAGTTTGCTGTTATCACTTGCATCATTTTTTTTGGCTGACACTCAAGATTTAAAAAATTGTTCCTGAATAAATCTACTATATACAGAGACTACGGTCAGTTGAAAAAGTTAAGTCAGTCTCGTTCAACCAGCCAAGGTCTCAAGATCCACAATATTCTTTTCAATTTTCTTATCATTTTAAAAAGAATAATTAGTACAACAATAGATTACCCTGGAGATTTTGGTGCACAATAAAAGTTGTACACAAACATAAGCCAAAGTGAGAAGATTGCACATGAAAATTTCAAACTTTTGATATAAAAAATTTTGGGGGTAGGTATGGCTTTTAAATACTTTGGCGTCTGGGCCAGAGCATAATTTGGCAAGTCTCTTGCGAAGAGTAACTTGTTTTAAGCTTGCTCTCTTAACTCACTCACATGGTTTCTGCTTGCAGTTGTTTAAGAAAACTCTCCTATCTCTTCACAGAATTCACATAAATTTTATTTATTTCTATGTCACACAATTAGAGGTAGAGAAAGATCTATATCATCCGAAATCGAATGATTTGGAGACATTCAATATCACTGCATTAAGTTCACATAATAATTTATATTGACAAGATCAAACATAAACTTAAGCTATATTTTGTCTATTTTGAAAGTACTGCTTAAAACTTATAAACCCCTACATGCTAAAGTATGGTACAAATATTGTACAAGAATGTGCACCATTTCAGTTCACACCTAACATAATCATCTTCTCTAAATATAATTTGTTGATTGACCATCGAATCAAATAAACTGAAGGCATACAATATTTTGCCAAAACAATCCATACGTAGCGATCGAAACGAAAAACTGTCGAAAGTTCAATTATACAAATTAAAAAATTTAAACGCTGAATTCGAGGAATATCTTTCTCAAAGGAATTTTTCTGCTCCACGATGGATACACACAAACGAAACCAACCACTCGTAATATTGTTAGGTTTGCAATCACGAGATTAGAGCCGATGATCTCCTCTACTGCCATGAAACAAAGCAAAAAAAATCCGAAAAGCCAGAAACCGAAAGCTTGAGTTAAGTTTTCGATAAAATCACCAAGATATCATCAGCTTTCCTGTTGCTTGCCAGTCTCAACAAACGGGAAGAAACTTTACAGATCGCTAAACTACCCACGGTGATCGTTTGTGGAGAGAACAATTGCTACTGCTGGAATGTTTTGACTCAATAAATTGGCCGGAGTAAAGGTCCATAACACAATCACTGGAACAAAATTATGATTTCAAAACCATAAATCGACCACGAACACGCAACAATGGTTACAAAGAGACACGAATATCTCAAGTTGAGAAATGAAACCGTTCATGCTCAGAAACCCTATTGCTAAGGTCTACGACAAACACCCTGTTTGTTTGACAAATACTCACCAAAATTCTAGCCTCTGAGCGGTCGCCCTTGAATTCTATAGTCCCTTTCTTGATGAAGGCTAATTCTATGTTCCTCCTGATCGCCAACTGTACATTTTCTGTGGACATGATCGCATAAACGCAAACAAATTCAGCTCACGTTGAAAAACTGATATAAGCACCCAATCTTGACGGAAGTTGTCGCGGCATGTGAGAAAATTTTTACATTATAAATATCACTCGTACCTAAAAGACCGGGCTCTATTTCTGCGGAATCATCCCCCATGACTTTTTCCGACCAAATACGCTGAGAAATCCAGCGCCCAATGCTGTTAAGGTAAATCTAAACACGGGGCAAAAATATGAACTGCTTGTCACACATTCACTTCTCCTTCCTGTTCAAGCATTTAAGTGATTACCATATTAGGCGTGTCACCCATTGACTCCGTAGGGTGGGGTAAGGGGTTGATACACGGCAAATCTGTTCAAAAGTTTTCACCTGAGAGGTGAGTCGCTTGAAGAAATTGCAGTACTATTTTTGTGTGGATTAGCGATGTTTTTTCGGCATAGGCGAGTTTTTAAAGCTCGAAACGACCACAATTGCAAGAGGAACTATTTTTTGCTCGAGCAGCGGATCATTAACGACGAAACATAACATTTTCACTTCGTGTCAGTGAAATTTCACTGAATACAATTATGCGAAGGTAAAATCTTTTTGTCTGAGAAGACATAACATAACATGATCAACATACCATGATATTTATTTAAGATGGAGAAGTAAGATGTCTGAACAACATGACTGACATAACAAAATTGCTTTCCATTTTCCTTACATACTTTCTGGATAGTTTTTTTCTTTGGATTGAATTAAGGCAGAAAACATTCCGGAAGGCTCACTTCGAAATATTTTAAATGTTGATGAGAATGACCTTGAACTACACGCCGTGTGAATTTTTATGAATCCTGTAATTTGCATAAATTCCATTACAACTAAGGTATTTAATTTTAAAACGAATTATCCCTTGCTTAGACCACTCTCTTAAACTGTTTTAACAATACACTTATTTTAATCTGTTATTTCCTCCAAATGATGACGATGTTTAGGACTCATTGGTATTCCAAATTCACAGAAGTGAAGGCAGGTTATGTAACTCACTTCCTTGTTTTTTGTTCTTGTTTTTTTTTTTGTTTTTTTTTTTGTTTTTATTTTTAAAGAATCAAAGTGCTCTACCGAGTCAATAGTTTTGAATTTATAAGTCTAGATGAATTAATTAAACTGTCTTAAACTTAAATACGTCTCCAACTTAACCTGGTGACAGAACAATACACTAAGACAAAAGGTATGAATTAAAATTCCAGAGATATGTTTACAGACATCAAAAAAGTTTCAGTAATACCCCAAACTATTCTAGAACAAAACCCAAGTCCCAAAGGGAATAATCTTCAAGACCCAAGTATTCAAACATCAGAGTGCATCAAGTAACCAACTGTCTAACTGAGACCCTTCAATGTTGTTAGTTGCTTCTATTTTTATCTTTTACCTATTAAAAAAACAATGCTTGATACTGTTGACTGTTTCTTGAAATTGACACTTCCAAATGGTATTAAGACTTAATAACTCAAAGGTCTCACTGTAATATTTACTTTGTAATATTGTCAGGCATTGTGGCACATTTTGCAGGCTAAGAAAGAGATATGACTGGGCTTACATAACCCTGCATGCACACATGATTTTTCATACTTCTGTAGGATTTTTCAGTTTGTACTTTCCCATTCCCCTCCAAAGTGATAATTATAGTAAGAATGTTCATGTTTATGCAAATAAGTATTTTTGGGTCCTTCTTAGAGTTATTAAATCCTTCACCTTCTCGGGGTCAGGCTCAAAACATATTTATGCCTGCAAACATAACCTCTATTGTCTGTAAGGGCTAATAAAAATGGATTTATGAATCATCAAGCTGCCATGTTACTTTCTCATTGCAGTTTCATCACATCACAAACAGAATTACCAACTAAATATTACATCATACTTATATTAATAGAAGACAAAAGTTGTATGGTTCTTTTTTTATTCTTTTTTATTAACAACCCAGATAATTTTGTTCCAAAGTATGTAATCATTTTACACAGAATTAAATAGATGCATGTTTTAAAAAAATATTCCCCCTTGACACTATTGAAAATAATTTTAAGAACATAGATATGACCAGTTCCTCATTGTTTGCACCCTTAATTATTATTGGAGTTGAGAAGTAACATTAGACAACAAATAATTCTTAAGGACATCTTCTAGTTTACTGGTAATTTAACACTCAAACCTAAAGGAAGCATAGAAAGAACTGCTTTCCATTTTGCTGGTTAGAGACTGTTCAAAACATTTCATCATTTTCAGAATTAATTTATTCTGCAGTGATTGCAATAAATTAGCTTGTTCAAGGCTTTTAGTTTTTAGCAGCAATTAGAAAATTGGCAAAGCAAAAAAGGTTGTACATCTTCTGCAAGTCCTTTTCCAAGTCACTTTTGTATTGTCTCCACTGCCTAAAACCCTGGGTACAGAGAAATCAAAAGTTGGTTCCTCTTTAACAGGCACATAAAATGAGGGCTTGGTCATATCATTTGACATTCAGTTTCAATAAAACAGACAATGCTAACACTGACTTTGTCAACAAAGTATACAGATTAAGGTAATTCTTATTCTTAGAATCACTAAGGCATTAAACAAAACTCGAAATGGTTACAATTTTGGTTGATCAAGAGTTAATTCTTTAGGTGACACTATAATACCATCGAGATCTGCATAAAGATAATGACCGGGTGTGAATGTCACTCCTCCAAACCGCACAGCAATATCTCTTTCTCCCAAACCTTTCTTGATGGATTTCAATGGCATTGTGCCTAAAGCTTTCACCCCCACATCCATCCTTGAAATCTCTTCAGAGTCTCGTATACAGCCATACATAACAACACCAGCCCAATTGTTCTTCATCACAAGTGAAGCAAGATTGTCACCAAGCATGCCACACCTTAGTGACCCTCCTGCATCCACCACAAGGACCTGAGCATAAAAAAGATCAGTTTAGAGATTTCAAATATGCAACAATATTGGTGTACAGAGAAATCATGGTTCTCAGAACAAGTTGTCATCCAAAAAAATTTTTTTTCAACCTCTAGCAGTCAGGAAAGCTGTCAGCAGTTTGTCATTTTCTAAACACACTTTCGTTTAAATCAATATTTGGAAATAATGAATTGGCAAAATTTCTTCCAATGTCATCAATCGGGTGCATGTGTAGTCTGCCTTGTTGCTTCCTGGGAAGAATTGGGTGTGGAAGTTATCAAGCAGCAAATATTGATCAAATCAAAGATTTACAAGGAAGAAAAAATTATGCTTGATTTTATTTCAAGCTGTTTTATTTTCCCTTGTGAAACTGTAGAGAGAATTATGTTTTCAAGATAACACCAGAAAGGCTTATGAGCTCGCTTGATAAATAATCTTGAGGAGAAGTTACTATGTTATAACATCTAAGAATACTTTAAAGTTCTTCTGATCTACCTTGGAGAGATAAAAGCTAAACATTCTTTATTCTGCCAAACTTATAGTTAATCTGAGTCAAGTACATTTCTTTAAGCCGTTCACTTCAAATATCTTACAAGTAATTCCCTTTACTGTCTGCCATAGAATTCTAATAATGCTACTTGGGAGAATTTTGTAGTGGGTCCACCAATAATTCCCTAATTGATCTTTCTTTGTTCTCATCACTTGGCTATTTGATATTGTATAGATGTCTGCTTGATATTGTACTGATGTTGGAAGGAGAAATTGTGTTTTGGTCACTCATGGGAGCTAATGTCTAACTCCATCGACAAAGTAGAAAAACGTAAACTCTACTTACTTATGACAATTCGCTACAGACAATATTTTAAGGCTTATTTGATTAAAAAAACAAACACAAAAACAAAAGAAAAGATAAAAATGTAAACAAGATTTTGCATGATACGTACAGGTAAATGCTGAGTAATGTCACATGAAAAGCGAGTCGTCATTCATACTTATTAATACTGAAATCCCATCTACAAAAGAGAAGCGCAATGTAAACATCCTCAGAATATATAGGACTATATTTCCACCACATACTTGCCGCCGTTTTGGCGGGTTTCACTGACATTAACATTGACCAGTGGTGTGGCTTACCCGCTTGTTCCCTGGTTCAGTGAGTGCTTTCTTCACGAGTACATTGTCTTCATGGCATTTCAACGTAGAAATCATTCCTCCAAATTTCGCCTTGCCTCCATAATTACGGAGGAAGTTCGCCTCCACGTATTGCAGCGTGTCGCTGTAAGCATCGCTTAAATCAGCCACATTCATTGTGCTACTATTGACGAAGAGAAAACGTCGCAAAGAAGAGTGAATGAGAAGACAGCCTTTGATTTGAGCGGGTTTAATTAATAATGCCACGCGTCGAAGTAAAGCCATTATGGATGATGCGGGAGACTGGTAACTGCTCGATTGACTCGACCTCATGATCAGTTACATCTTTAGCTTCGAAGGCTTTGGAGGGCTTTCGTAGGTAGTAAAAACAACTGCATCCACACAGTTTCTCAGAACGATTTTTGCATACATCATGAACTAGTAAGAATGATGTAATGCATATTTACAGCAACAGCTTATCGAGGCGAATACACGTTACCGCAAAGTACCGTTATAACAATGCACTACTCGCTTTCGAGAACCACTGAAGGTTCTTGCAATGATACCTCTTCAGTCGATTAGATTAGAGACATCCAAACGTGTGAAATAATCAGTCAAATTTGCATCCATACCCATTTATTCAGAAACTCACAGTTAGGAGCGGATGTTTTTGTCGATGACAAATGCTCGATTTCCACAAAGCAGGCGGAAGGAGTGTGAATTACAAAGCGCATTAAAATCAGGTGACAAAGATGTTCTCAGTTGAGAAGGCTTTGAGAATTGGGGTTTCGAAATATCCTCTTAGAAAACAGACTTAAGAACAACTTCCCTTTATTTAATCTTTCGATAAGATACAGATCAATTTACAGGAAATACAAACTCAATAAATTCATGATCGTCTTGGGAGGCTACACCACTTAAATCGTGATGCTAAAGGAGAGAGAGGGTTAACACAGCATAAAACTAACGAACAATTGCTGGAATCAGACAAGTTTCTCCACGCTAAGAAAAGGTAAGATTGACCGTTTCTGTGTGAAGCCATTTAATGCGTTTTTGGTGGAAGCGTATTTCTTTCCACTTTTTTGTCGACTTTGACGCATTCAACAAGTTCCAATGGCAGCTCTGGAAAATTTCGGGTTGAACCGACATTCTGTGTTGTGTTTTATAGATATAATAACGCAAACTATATGAATTTTCATATTGCTTAAAAAAACATGAGTTTGGTAATTCCCTTACCATCGCGAGCGAAGCTGAACGAGCCAAGGCGAACATTTTATATGTGACTCATTTTCAGGTCTTACACGCCTTTCGAAATGTTTGAGTTACCAGTTCAAAAATTGATTTATTAGATTGACTGTGCGGTTGATTCGTTCCAGTTGTCAATCAAAAACAAGAGCTTTTGATCTTTAAGTTAGAGCTTGCTTTCCAAGGCTGGTCAAAGGTCCCGAGTTGATCTGCAAATTCCGCTGTCATGCGATACCTCTTGAAAATGGAGGCCGCGGGTACATTGAGTAGGCAAGAAAACCCTGTAGTGAATCTTGCTTTTAAAGTATCACCCGTGGTTTCACTTAAGCGCCTCAGAAAAAATCACTTTCCCAGAAAAAAATTATACTAAGCCAACATTCAAGTAATCAACCTGATACAAATTAGTTTTGGTGAATCAACTTAAGTTTCATGCATCTGAAATGGAGGAATCTCTGTGTTCCGGCATTGATATCCAACTTGTTTTTCTTCAATCTCCTTGATGCGTAAAAACGTGTTCGCTTTGGTAGGTGTCGATTCATCAATTTCGTAGAAGATGCAAAAAAAGCTTAACTTGTATAGATCAAGTAACTTCAAGTTGAGGTTATTTATTTTAATCAATAGGGTACTCAGGTTTTCAGCAATTCGAACGTTCGAGATACCTGATCAATTGTTATGTACTGGCACGCTTGCGCCTCGAATATTCCGCCTCCTTCCGTTCAGTAATCCGCTAATCCAATGAATTTGGACCGAAAATGTTTTCGCTTGCCTAGCAAAACCAGGCAAAACGTAACAAGAATCTCTTCGCCAAACGATGCAATGCAACAGGTTTTAATGTTCAGTCTGCCGGAAAAACAAGTTGAACTCAAGCGGAAGATCGGAAGAAGCTAGCAAATCCGATTTGGAGAGAGATTTTTAAAAATCCGACAGTTAGATTCATTGACCAAATTCATTTGGAAAATCTTAAGGATGCTTGAGGTTGGCAGGAAGAATAAGTTCCTCACATCCGCATTCTTAATTTCCTGCTTATTCCGATAATTCCGAGAAACGGGCTCTAACTCTTTGTTAACATTTCAAAGCATTTTCCGTGACCACTTTTGTTGAAGGAAAAAATGGTTCAAGGTTAAGGATCCAAATTGGCTCCGAGCTTTTCCTACGCTTAGTCCCAAAACTCACGTAGCAATTCTTTTAATGTTTTTTGTTTCCTTTTTGCTGACGTCATTGAACAACCACAACTTTGGCAGCAAACACAATAACCAGGCGCGGCTCCTAAGAAGCTACACTGCCTTGTGCCTAGAGTGTAGCTCTTAATTGTTCAAATAGATGGGCTAGATGGATAAGGAAAAACAATTGTGATACGTTAAGGTAAGCGGCCCAGTTGCTAGGCAAGATTTGTCAACAGGCAAAATTTTAGCGCATTTGAACTGGTTTAGACCAGTTTTAGGAATCTTGCATCGCGGCGAGAGTGAAAATTTTATATTTATTTACTCGATTAAACGCCCTGCCGTTTATTTAGACTTTGGCGTTTTATATGCGGCGTAGGGTGGCGTTTGTTCGAACTCGACGTTTATTTATGTTTCGTAAAAAGTTAAATTACCAACAATTATTATTGGAAATCATTTGTTTTTTTAGTCTCAATACTTATTCTTTTTACAGAGATAGAATTGAGCTTTTATTAGTTCGTGATGTCTACATCACAGATGGATAGATTATCGAGTTGTGCTGTTGGTAATTCTTTTCGCTGACTTCTAGAAAAACACTAGATACTGCTGACTGAGAGCTTTGTTTATTCGTGGAACGATAAAGTAAAGTTTTTATGTGTCATCTGTTCTTCAAAAAGAACTGTTTCGACGAGGGTGATTGGGTCCGGTGTTGTGGGCGTGCAGAAGCCCTTAATGGGCGGTTCATGTTTTTATTTTTCATCGACCTGGAGGTTGTGTCTCAACAAGTCGAATACAGTGTTTCTGTTGTGATCCTTAACTTCCTGCCGCTCGGGTTTAGCTGTCTCGCCAATATAAACCCCGCCACCTTGTCTCGCCAGGTCAACAGCATCTATCGGCCGTGCTAAGTGCAATCGTAGCGTAGTCTCCCACTTGAAAATAGCGCGTATACCTAGTCTTATGCAGCAACGAAGTTTTTCCGAAAGATCTTCGACAAATAGTAAAACCGCAGTAGCTTTAATCTCGGTACTATTTATAGTTCCACAACATATTTTTATCCTCACCAGACCGCCCAGGAATATCATATGTGATATCCATCTTTTCATTCTTACTTTACCTCTGTAACATGCTAAATATAGAAAAAAAAGACAGATATGGATCTAAAACCGCTTATTGATTTCGGAGGGGGGTTGCCAAAAATAGAATAATCCGCAATTTGATAAAATAAGCAACGATGTAGGCAGAACAATGTACAATGCGAGTGATAGTGAAAAACTCGAACCCAAAGTCACTTTACGATCACCGCTGGATAAGCAAATATAGTTATTTGATTTTTGCAGCCATAATAAGAATTGAATAAAATAGTTAGAAAAAATCAGTCGCCTAATGTTCCAACGGACCAAAAATGATCTACTCGATTGATGGAGGTTTCAAAAGGTCTTTACTCATGCAATTTAATCACTTAAACAAGCAAATTGACATGCATTGCCGCAAGTTTTGTGGGAAAATTAGGAAGTCTAGCTAAGTTTTCTTCTTTCCACAAGAAAAGTGTATTTGCAGCCGGAGTTAAGCTTTCGGGGCCGTTGTTTTTCAACATCCATTTGTGACAATTTGTGATAAATGGCAAGCGGGCTGTCAGCCAATCTGGATGAAGCACAGACCCTTGAAAAAACCATTCTCATTAATTTGCCTGGTCACTTGAAGATCGTCATCAAGTGAACACATCCTGGAACACAGCCGCCTTCATTTCAACTGATATATTTCAGTTTTGTTGTGAGAAAAGAGAGAACAGGTACATCGAATTAGTAACTACAGTCTTATTTTGGAAGGTGAGCTTTTATTCGAATCTGTACTTTTTTTTTTTTTTTTTAGTAAGAACAGCGATGATCATGATTTCTCAAGCTAACACCATGCCTTCTTTTCTGCTGTTATTATTGAAAATGGCTGGCTCGATATCTTCCATGGGATATGTCACAAAATGCTGAGAATACCTTAAATTCTTTTTCTGTTGCAATCGGTATTTTAGACAAAACCTCTAAACCAGTCAGCCAATACCCTTTCCACACACTCTTACACTCCTATATTTACACTTTCAGATTAGCAATATTACTTAGGCTGACACGCCAAAAGCCTAAGCTAGTCTTAGTCTCAATATTGAGATAACCTACTATACTATCTAAGCTAGCTGTCTAAACTAAATTAGATGGTTGTTGGGAAATATCTACAATTGAACAAATTGTCATACCGTAGAAATTTTCCTCAGTTGTACTTGAAAACAGGCTCTGGAAATGTTCCAGTGTAAAAAATCTTCAACCTTAATTAGGGCTTCCGAAATCAACTGGCGCTTTGAGCTTTTTACGCTCTTATGATAGATTTATTGAGGGTTGGTAAGCTGGCTGTATTAAAGATCAACCATTGAAAATTAATTTGCAGCTACATTATGCAATCGCAGGTTATCAGTTCGCACATCCGTGATTATAGTCACTAAATCGTTTGACAGTTACCGGCAAAGTGTTTTTTGGTACGACACGTCACAAAAAATCGGCCATCCAAAATGATTTCTGAAAAAAATAAAATCATTTACTCTAAAAATAGAAGGAGTCGTGTGAAAGTTGAAAAAGAGATCTGTCATCGATCCTCCTGAAATCATTTTATGTTATCAAATTACCACACCACAGTAAAAAAATCGACAGCATTTGACACGGAAATCTCAACTGAAATACCAATCGCTCTAAAACCCCCCTCTCATCGCGTCTGAATCCATTAATTTTCGGATTGTCTGTCGTAGGATACTCGGCTATGAGCTGTTTCAGTGCTCCCACGTATTTAGACAAGGGATATCTTCCGAATTCTCTAGAAACGCAAATTTTTTTTCCCTTCACCACCCCCGTGGGTCTGGTGGCGTCTCCGCGTGAAAAACGCGCGACAATGGCGCACGCAATGCAAGCATACTTAGTCAGTCTAGGGACCTGCTGATGAAATGATCACTATTGTTTCAATTAATTACTGGGTTCCTTCCAACTCTTGGTTGACTCAGCATACCAAAATCATCATGTGCGTTTTTCGTTCCTCACAATTTCAGAAT